GCGGAGCGCAAACCCGCACAAAAACTATATTTGAATCTGAGTCGCTACGTAGATTTAGAAGCTACAAAACCTAGAAGTTCTAGTTTGCAATCAAGTGGAATTCCAATCCTGTTTTCACACGAAGTGCAAAAACGAAGGCCCTGTTAGAAGATGGCTCAAAGTGCATGCATCGGAAAGAACTTTTCGCAGTCGCAATCAAGATCGGGTGGAGAACGAAAGACCTGCGTTTTAATTTCCGTGGAGCCTTGTCGTCCGAACTCGCTGAGAAGCAGCAGAACCGGGGAGAAAATTGAAAAAAGAATTGTTGTTGGATGGAGCGCATTGGTGGAAGAACGAGGCACCGCAGGGCCGAGCGATGAGCAGAAATTTGGGATCTGCTGCGGTCGTGGCTGTAGGCGACGAGAACGTTGATCGACGGCAAAGCCATTGGTGATCCGGGCGGTGATCGCGTTACTTTGATTTCGCGGAACCATAGAGCTTCGGTGGAAGGAGCTTTTCATTTCGGAAGGAGGAGGTTGAGGAACACGAAAGAAGAAGAAGCGGTAGCGGGCACGTAGCCTGTCGGCAAACATGAGAAGGGCACAGCTTTATTGGGTTCCATCCGTCCGTTTAACAGTTAAAAAATAAAGTTTTTTGTGAAGCTCGAAAAGCTTCGCATTTTATCTCAGCAATGTATTCAAAAGGAGCAAGCTCCATACGCGGTGAAAGTGTTCACTTTCTCCTCAGTCGAGGAGTAGAAATCGTCGATGACATCGACTCAAATAAATGTAGTTCTTTCCCTGAAAGTACGTTTGATTCGACACCGTGGGCCGCAGATGGAAATGAAAACGATGCCCCCACCTTAGCGAAAGGCACAATTGCAAGATGCCTCATCCTCACACGCGTGACACTTTACAAAATGCATGACGAATTCCTGTCGCTGTGAAATCGTAACGAGATATCATCTTGTCACGCGTGACAGATTCCGATCTTGCGCTTTAGCCTTTCACTAAAGTGGGGTAGAATTTTTCAAATCCATAAGGACTGGGAGATCAGTGTCGCCGAGACCGAACGCGGTGGAGGTGAAGATATCAGTTGATGAATATGCGGGAACTACTACTGCCGCAGCCGAAGTTGTTTTAGCCGGATATTCGAAATTATTGCTGGTGATGGTGCTGCTAAATCGGACGTTGTTTTTATTCCTTTCTATCATTTGTTGTTTGAAGTTTGTCATGCAGGACCGCGTGACGTATGAAGACAGGTTTTGATATCAGTGTCCCGCTGCACTGGTCCGGATATCGGCACCGGTTTCGAGTGTAGTTGCTGATGGGAGGATGTAGGCACCTCCGATGAGCTTTTATTTCTACGAAAAATCGGTTTGCTCTTGTCGGCCCGCGACGAAATAGAACTGTGAAAAACTGCAACGCCGCAGTTTTGACGATGTTGATTCGGCCTGCACCAGCAGCACCTACTGCGTTTTGTCCTTCTTCACCTCGTCCTTTTTCGAGGTATTCTGTTCCTCCTTGACCTCACCCTTCGTGGATTTGCTGCTGCTAGCCGGAGGCCCCGTCTTGGGCTTCGGCGAATAGTGCTTGTCGTTTTTCTTCTCCGACGGGGGCGGGTCCTTCTGCGACGCAGCAGTCTTGTCGTCGTTCTTTTTCTTCCCCGAGCTGCCCGGAGTGCTGGCCAACTTCGTCTTCATGGGGGTGGACTTATCCTGTTTCGGCGAGGGCAGCTTCGGCGGCAACATCTTCGTCTTCTTTTCGGATCCCGGAGTCGCGACAGGAGTCTTGCCGCGCGGAGTGCGCGCCTTCGACTCCGGGGTTTTCGGAGCGGCGTTTATGCAATTGAAAACGAGCCTCCGCTGCAGAAATTTCCAGGAGGCTGAACCTGTCATGCGTTTTTCGTTTTAGAGAAATCAACTTCTCCATAAAATGAACAACCTTGTCGTTCAGAAACCTGGAAACAAATGCTGCAGCGAGGCCGTTTTCAAGTAGATACACTTCTGGGAGGACTGGGTACCACGGCCGGAAGCCTGCGAGGCAGTCGCCTTCTTCGTCGCTTTTTCACGCTTCGCACGCAGGGATTTGGCTTTGTCCGACAAAGCGCTACCACGCGACGGGCGCCCATCGGTACCCGGGACCTTCACCGTCGGCTTCGGAGCCTCCTTCTTATCGTCCTTCTTGTCGGCCGATTTTTTCTTGGTGCGGGTAGCAGCACCTTTCCCAGCCGGCTTCTTATCATCCTTCCCCTTGCCACGGCCGCGCTTTTTCGAAGCACCATGAGAAGAATCCGGCGACAACGGGGTAGCAGGCAGTCCCGACTTCGACTCCTGATCATCCAGTTCCCCATCATCGATCATACTGTCGAGGTTGGGGTTGTGGCGGAAGTAGTTGTCCATGGAATCTTCGGCGTGGGAATCAGAGTCGCCGATAGAGTCGGCATCTTCCTCTTCCTCGTCCACGCTTTCCAACACGTTCCGCTTGTTCTTCGAAGTCTCCTTCCCCGCGAGCAGCATACTCGGTTTCCCAGACTTCGGTTTCCCCGACGAGCGCATCTTGCGGTAGTCGCGCAGCGAGTAGTTGTGGTTCGGGGCGAAGATGTCTTTCGAAGACCCGGGGAGACCCGCACGCTGCTCGATGTAACGGGGGTGCGGGGTCAATTGGCGGACGGGCTTGTTCTTTTTCCGCTTGGGCGGGGTGGATGGCGCGGAAGAAGAGGACTGCTTGCGGCGGCGCTTGATGGTCACATTCTTGGAGCGGCCACGCTTGCGATCCGCACTGGAGCTGTCGCGGAAGTTCAACAACATGGACTTCGGCTTGTTGGCCAGCGCCAAAATCGAGCCCTGTTTTAGTTTTTGGATTGGTCAGTCATGATATAACTTTTCAGATGTCTGTATTGCGCATGAATGAATAGGCTGGCGAAGCTTTGTGTTGTGTGTAAATTTGCACCGACTTATCTGACAAACAAAAGTACCTTCGGCTTAGCTTTCTCCTTTTTCATCTTCTTGTTCTTGGCATTTTTCTTCCCACCGCGGCGACCTTTTCCGCAAGAACTGGAACCAGAGGTATCGGTGCTGGCATCGCGGTTTTTTTCGCCTCCGAAAGCCGAATCGTGGTCACTGTCGCTGCTACCGGATTCCGACGGTTCGTGGTCGCCGCGCATCAAGCGGCGCAACTCTTTGGCCGCTTTGCGGAACTTTTTCGGGCGGTTCTGCTTCCACCAGCGCAGTTCACCCACGCAGGACTTCTCCGTAGCGGCCGATTCGCCTCCGGTCGGCGGCTGTTTTTTGTTATGAGGAGGTGGCTCGGGATCAGCACCAAAGCTGAAGTTCTGGAGCACAACACAAGTGATGAATTTGTGATGCAAAAAACTACACATATGCATGACAGATTTGAAAAAAACAAGATAAAGTACGTGAATGTCGGTAATTCCCATGGTCTGAAAGAGGGCCCACGCCTGCTCGGCCTCTTTCAGGACGCGTTGCACGTCCTGGACCTCGCACTCAAAAACCAGCGCCGTCCATTTTTGCAGGAATTTGATGGGTATCGACTTCCACCCCTCTGTGAAGATATATTTTTGGTTTCATTTTCGCATGACAGTCTCTTATCAAGATATGAGTTCATGTCGGACGGGAAAAAATGAAGAAAATTATAAACCGACCCTACAAAAACAGCACAAGCGCATCATACAACAGCAAAGTAGTACCTTTGAAATTGGTTCCACTGAACACCTGGCCGCCCAACTTTTCTTCGGGCTTCTTCTGGGACTCGTCATAGGCATCCTGCAAGTGCTTGATCAAGTCCAGCATGTCGGCCGGTTTCAAGTGCGACAAGATGATCTTCAAGCACACAGCCAGGCGGGCCGCCTCTTTTTTCTTCTCGGGGGCGGTCAAAGGGCCGTAGTTCCCCGTGGTTTTGGCGTTGAGAGTGATCTCCTGGCGTCCAGACATCTTGCTTGTCTTCGAGAGCGGAAAGTCGAGCCCTATGAAGATGAAAACTCCAGTCATTCCCAACCAGTTTGTCATGCATAAATCTACGTCTGCAAAATATCTGTCATGCTAAAAATGCATGACAAACTTGGGAAAACTGGAATTTTCAAATGCATATGTCGAGGAATCCGACGAAGTTACCGTTGCGGTGGAGATGATAAAGGTGGAAGTTCAAAGCGATTACGGTGAATCGAGAAGACTGATGCTACGACCGAGCAAAAGTACGAAAGTGGAAAGCTGATGTCTGCGACAACGCTGAAATTAGATAAGCCCTGGAGGTGGTTTGGAAATGAAGCATTTTGGTTTGGGTCGCAACGCAATCGGCGCATGACAAATATGAGGAACCGTGGAACGCGGTAGAAGTGGAACGCATTTGAGATCTGCATGACAAATTTGGTGACCGCGAATATTCTAGATCTCCAAGCCATCTGCTGGCTTGGCTGTGAGAGCTTGGTTCTGATCGCTGGGGCCTAGAGCCCGGAACGCATGCATCGTTTGTCGATCTGGCTGCTCGGGCCTTGGGATTTAGAGTCTAGATCTATGGGCCGGAGCCGGAGCAGTGGATACCCTACTTAGACGTTTTGCGAGCTCGAGCTGTGGATGTCCGAAATCGACGTTTTGACTTACGAGGTGGGGCCAGAGGGCGACAACCCCATCTACCACTGTTCGTCTGCTGGAAGCTGAGCGATTGTCTTCAGAAATCTCTCTTCTTAACTAGCTAGCTTACCGCCAATAGCCAATATCATAAATCATCTGCTGCAAAACTCAACATTCAAAACCAGATACAACAGGTTCGGGAGTGCCGCGAAAGTCCAGCGAAGTTTTAATTTTGATGGTCAAAAATTTTGAAAATTTGAGTTTTGTGATTGTGATGGTGTTTTTTTCTTCGATATTGCAATCATGCATTACAAATCTTTTTGTTAAGGCAAATCCGCATCACAAATTTTATTTCTCATCCTGACAAAATTTGTAATGCATTTTTTATACGAGTGCGATACTTTAACTTTTGCAATGCATACGCGAAGAAGAAGTTGAACACCTTATTGGTAAAAACCGCGGCGGCGTGTTTCGAGAAAAGGCAGAAACTATCAAATGCAAATATGTGTGGATCCGGAAGAGTCCAACTTGTATTGCGTGTCTTGCATGAGGCTGTAGAATCTGTATTGCATGACGAGCAAAAGGGCAGCCTCATTTGTCATCCAAAAAGGCGATTTGTCATGCGTACTCCGCTTCAGAGAGCGCAGCTGTGAACACTTGTCATGCGTAACTACAAATGCAAGTTTTCCGCAACTCAGCATCACAGGTTTCCAGACCCAGATTACATATTTGCGATGCATAGAACCAGATGCGCAGGCAGTTCGGGGCGGCTTACTACCCCGTCGTACTCGCGGTGCCGGAGGAAATCGAGCGGCAGATTTACGTATCGACTGGAAAAATGTCTGGGTCTGGAAGATTGCCAGCCTTGTCATACAGGTTTTCCATGACCCAAGAGGTCTGGTATGTAGGACATAGCATGATGACAGATTGTTCTCTGAGAGTTCTATCATGCCTGTGGATAGCTTTTGGTAATCATGCACCACAGATTCTTACATGATTCAGATTTAGCATGACAAGTTCCACTTTTCCAGACCCAGACACTTTTGCACTTGATATTACGAGTTTTTGCCGGAACCACGGGTCTACACACAGAAGGAACTGCTGCTGCACACGGACCCGGTTTTGGGATTGCACATCTTCGACACGGAGACGAAAGCGGAGTGGCGACCGCAGGTGCTGTCTTACGAGATTGGGGATAACACTGAGTGCATCCAGGTTCGTTGCGCTGTCCCGGTGGACTTTTCCTCCCACGTCTTCGGCCAACGGCTGTATCGAATGCAAAAATGTCTGGGTCTGGAAGAATGCAACTTGTTATGCTGCATTTGGATGCCTAAAAAATTTGTGTTGCATGAGCAGCAAAAGGATTCTAGTTGTTCTTGCTACGCGGGGAGGGCATTTGTCATGCGGAATAGGCATCAAGAATCCGTCAGAAAGCCCTTGATGCCAGGGCATGCATCACAGACATCATGGCTCATGCAACACGTGCATGACAAGTCTCAGAATCTTCCAGACCCGGACACTTTTACAGTTGATAGGCTGTTCGTCTTCACCAAGCCTGGTTTTTTGAACCCCTTTCGATACACGGGCCTGAATATCATTTGTATGAGATGTCTGGGTCTGGAAAGATTGCTGTACCAGAGACTGCGCATGAAGAGTTGTATAGTAGGCAGCCACCTCTACTATCCCACATAGTACGTGACAAGATTAATTTTTTTTTTCTTACGTGCCATATTATTTCGCAAACCGGACGGAAAATTGCTTTTTTGCATTGACAAACATAAGTGGCTGTACCTCCGCCATAGGCATGACAGACCTTGTTCTTCTCATGTCACCCAAGCATGAGCATGACGAATCTATGCGTTCTTCCGGAACACCCGACATACTTTCCTAGTTGACACTGAAGGTGCTCGACTTGCAGTTGGGGCTTCAGCTGTGCTACGAAAGCCAGGTGATATCAAATGCAAAAATGTCTGGGTCTGGAAGGTTGGAACTTGTCATGCTAACTTTGGACTCTAAAAGTAAAAAAATCTGTATCGCGTGACCAGCAAGAGGAGTCTAGTTTGTGCTGCGCGGGGAGGGCGTTTGTCATGCGGAGTAGGCATCAGGAAGCCCTTTGAAAATCTGTCATGCTAGGTTGTGCATTACAGACATCCTGGGTCGTGCAAAATATGCATGACAAACCCGGTAACATTCCAGACCCAGACATTTTTACATTTGATAGTCGACGATAGGCGACAAAACACTGTGCACTGTACAGGTGCACATCAGCGTCAGGGCCCACGAGAAGGACGTCCCTGATTCCGTGCGCGCCTGGCTGGCACGGCAGTTCTTTTACAGCTCCCGCGATTTAACCACGGGCCCGGTCGAAGTAAAGACGCATGATTGGGAATTGGACACACAGTGTCTGCACTGCCCCGAGTATCTCAATGCACAACGTCGCGTCTTCCCCTTCACTTGTCATGCGAAAGAGCACCAGATTGATTCAAACTCTTTGCACGTTGGAACTGGTGTAACTGTTTGTATGGCCTTATGATATGATCCCCGCTCCGTGGTCGCGTTTTTTTGATGTCATGCAAAAGCTGCATGCGAACTGACCTGCTATCGACGATATTCTATTTGCTTTTCATCCCAGTGCGAATGCGGGCGGGGGGAACATCAAGTCGTGCATTTTCATAGCGGCAACTTAAAACACTACACCGACTTCTTCGACCAGAGACTGACCACAAACCCGGCTGCCACAGTAACTGGGATCGTTATTCACATCGACGGTTTTCAAGAAACCCTCAACGTTTTTTTCCGATTGGAAGCCACACTCGCTGCTGCCGTCGCGGCTATCGAACCGATCCCCTCGGGTATTGCAATGAAAAATGCCCTTTCCAAGAAATGAAACATTCGCCCTCTTGCATGTATCAGCATCACAGATTTCCGATCGTTAATAGCAAAAATCTGTATTGCAAAAGATCCCAGCAAGAGCGATGCTTGTCGTGCAAGCGATGCGAAACACCACTAGAATCTGCATCAGAAAGATTCATATTCCTTTCATGCATGACAAAAAGTTTTCATTTGGAAACCTCGCATCACAAACTTTTGCAACTTTTGGGGTGGGGGGCACTTTTCACTGTAATATCGGGACTGCGGCCGGTACTGGCGCTGGGCGAGATTATCCTGTGCAAAAGTATCGTACTAGTACTAATCGCATTTATGCATTACAAATTCTATTGTTAAGGTAGATCCGCATGACAATTTTTTTTCTCATGCTGAGGAAATTTGTATTGCAAATTATACTAGTACGATACTTTTGCAGTTCATAGAGATATACCAAATGCAAATATGTTTGGGTTTGGAAAATGAAAAGTGCGAGGTTTGTCATGCTGGGGCCAGTAAGACTCTCAAGTCTGTCATGCACGTATACACGCAAGCCCCATTTTTCTATGATGCAGAAGGAGAAACGCTGCTTGTCATGCAGGAGAATAGGCAACACTTAGAAGTAGCTCAGAAACTTGCTATGCTGGGCCATAATTACTTGTGGACTCTTCGTGCTAGTACCATGCCACTCAGCATTACAAGTTTCCAGTTTCCAGACCCAGGCACGTTTGCGATGCATGCGGAAACGAGCTGGCCAATTTCGCCGGAACTGGACAAGGCTGTCAAGCAACTGCTTCTACGCATTGTAAACATCGTCTATCGCAAGAAAAAACTGTTTCACTGTAAACTTGTAATGCAGAAACTGTATCTGAGAAGTGTTTGCCTTGCTACACATGCAAGACACTTGATTTTTAGCTGTGTTTTCCCTTGGGAATCTCGCATGGCAAATTTTCTCTGTGATGTAGAACAAACTTGTGATGCAAAACTTACAAAATCCTTGCAGAGAAACACTTTTTTCGTACGATATCGATGACGTGCTGTGTGGTCGTCTCTTTCTGGATTTCTACTGCAAGATCGGGAGCAGGACATTAAGTAGATCTGTGATGCTGGCATGCATGAATACGAGTCGCCACTTTTTTTGGCTCACTGGTGCTCGTTGAACAAGCCAGTTATTTCTTGTCATGCGTTTTATCAGGTATGACTCGTCATGACGATAAATCTGCATACATAACTTAAAAGTCTCGACGCAAACAACAACGTCTGATGATTCCATGCCGTACGAGCAGCTACCTTGTGATGCACACAAGGTAGCTGTTCGCCATCACAAATTATTTCAGGCCTAAATTTTTATGTCTTCTGTGTTTGCAATGCTGCATAGGTTGACCTTTTCCCAGAGGACCGTGACTTCCGGCTTTCGGTGGACGAAGGTGACGACGAGGACCTCGTGTTGGACACCGCCGCGGTTTTCTTTCCGTTAATCCCTCGCGACGCACTTTTGCGGCTTTTCCAGACAGGAGATGTGAATGCCGTTTTGCGACCCGAGATGAGGTTCTGCGGGAACAATAACAACACACACCGACCCGTCGAGCTGATCACCTTGTTGCTCCAGACGCAGCCGAGTCTGGCGGCGGGCCTCCGCATCAGCGTATCGGACTGCTTCCCGCCCGGCGCAGGCGCGGACGATGAGACGAAACTAAACTGGGTGCGCTTGTGTGCAGCCCCGATGGGGTATTGCAAAAGCGCGGATGGCGAGCCTACTTCGGACTTGAGCATTGGCTTCCTTGGCAGCGCCATGCCCACCATCCATTACCCGCCATCCATTCAGGACATCAAATGCGACGTCGGAAACCGGACGGTCTTCTTGCGAGGGGCCCGGCGTGAAGTTATTGGCGGGGACACCGTGATGCTCCATTTCAGACGCGCCGCAGACGAGGTATCAAATGCAAAAATGTCTGGGAGGTCTGGACGGATCCAAGGTTTGTCATGCACAGTTTGCATGGCTCCTGACGTCTGTGATGCATGCCGTAGCATCACAGATTTTGTGAGGGCTTCCTGATGCCTATAGTACCGCATGAGAAATGCCCTCTCGCCGAGGCAAAAACTGGACCTCTTTTGCTGTTCATGCAACGCAGGTTTTTGTGGTATCCAAATGCAGCATCACAAGTTGCACCCATCCAGACCCAGACATTTTTGCATTTGATGAGACGAGGGCGACGACGATGAAAATCTTCTCGCCCCGGACAACATCCACATCAAGATGCGCCTGAAAGTATCCTGTGCAAAAGTATCGCACTCGTACTAATCGTAATCGCTTTTATGCATTTACAAATCTTGTCCTCAAGGTAAAACAGCATGACAAATTCCAGTTTTCATGCTGAGGAAATTTGTATATGCATTTATACGAGTACGATGCTTTAGCTTTTGCAATTCATAGTACTTGGATGGCCGCCGCAGCCGCTGCACGATCCAGACATGTGTCGTCTCCTGCGGCGGCAACTCCGGCTGGCGGGAGGCAGACAACATTAAGGCGGCTTTGTCTTTTATCAAATGTAAAAATGTCTGGCTCTGGGTCTGGAAGAATGCAACTTGTCATGCTAAATCTGAAGCATGCAGAAATCTGTGTTGCATGAAGATTACCAGAAGTCGTTCAGTTTTGACCACGTCGGGAGGGAGTTTCTCATGCAGGATAGGCATGAGAGAGATCACGCAGAATCTGTCATGCTAGGTCCTGCATTCCAGACCTCATGGGTCAGGGTCATGGAGAAGCTGCATGACAGATCGCGCATTCTTCCAGACCCAGACATTTTTGCATTTGATATCTTTGCTTGGTGTACCAGAGCGGAGGTCCGTCGAAGAGATCTTTGCACCTGTCCAGCCTTCTGATAATTCTACGTCGTCCATCTCCGTGGCGCGGCCAAGAGCTGTAGCGGACCACCTGTCTGAGAGAATGCGAGGCGACGGCGGCGACAGAGCTCCTGCCGTGGCGGCGCCACAGCTACAGCACGGGCCCCACGATGTTTGCACCACCGGTCGACGTAATAGCGAAGATCGTCGTTTACTTGGAAGTGCTGCTCCGCAAGAAACAAGCTTATCAGCTGCACCATCGTCGCAACAAGGTAGCGAACTAGCAAGCGGACTGGGTGGAGAAGGCGGTGGTCGTTCCAGCAGCTCGCTGCACGACGACGAAGACAGCTACAGTCACGACGAGGAATACTCCTACCGGAGTCACAAGAGTATCGCCTCGTCCGTATGCATTGCAAATATGTCTGGGTCTGGAAGGATGAAAACTTGTCATGCTGTGTTTGGATTCAAAAAAATCTCTATTGCATGAACAGAAAGAGAAGTCCAGTTTGCGCTATGCGGAGAGGGCATTTCTCATGCGGAATAGGTATCAGAAAGCCCTCGAACGATCTGTGATTCAAGGCCACGCATTACAGGCATCATGGACCATGCAAAATATGCATGACAAACCGGGGAATCTTCCAGACCCAGACGTACTTGCAGTGGATACTCCGACTGTGATGACAAATTGTCCTCGTGCAGCAGAAGGCAATGCAGTAGTCCGAAAAGCTGCTCCGATGACGACGACGACGATGATGATGATTCGAGCAACCCATTTTTCAAAGGGGCATTGGCAAGTGGCAATCCAAGTTTCGGGCCGAGAGCTGGAGCGACCAGCCAACAGGTATGGATAATACAAATGTGTAGTTCAACATCTTTCGGGCAGAGAAAAGATGAAGTGATGTGCAACTTGTAATGCAGCGTGGGCGTGCTGGTGTGGTCTCGCATTCCTGGCGTACTCAACTAGACCATACTCAAGAGCAGGTCCGTCTCTGACAGAGACTCTTTTCGTCATGCGACATCACATTTTTTCATGCTTATTACGAAGTGCTTGTTGACAATCCCTCTTCACAACTTAGCATAACAAATTTCCCCATCCCGCCGGAAAATTAAAATTTGCATTGCATAAACGTCACAGGAACGCCAGCACCCGCATTTTTCCTGTATGGAGCCCCTCGTTCTCTCGGATGATTCGGATCAAGGCGGGGGAGAAGGATCTTCAGGTACATGATTTTTTTATTCATGCGGAAAAAATAATATTTCTACACGACTCTCATGTCCAGCTTCGATCGAGTCTAGACAATTCACTGTTGTCGACTATCCATGGCCCTCCAACCAAAATCCCACCCCAGGCGAACCCGCAAGTAGAGTGGATTCCGACCAAGACGAGGACAGGACCAGTTCGCGGGTAGAGCAGGAACGGCTCCCCGAGTGTGGTCGTGACGGGGAGGGGGAGGGAGAGTGCAAGGCCCAGGGGCCGCGACAGCGAGAACAACGACAACCAGAAAATGATTCGACAAATAACGAACACGGCGAGATGATGAATGGTACGTCTTTATTAGTACAGCAACCGGTCCTCGTGCGGGACGACGAGATTGATATGGAATGCAAAAGTATGATAAAAATTGCACTAGCAGAAAAAAGAAGTAAAAAGACACGACATGACAGGTACAACTTCTACCAACGTGAGAAACTACAGCGCCAAGAGTCGAATTGCGGTGCAGGACGAACAACAACAAGTTCCAGGCACCGAGCTACTACTTCCAGTGTTTCAGGAAAACAAGTCGGAGGTTATCGATCTCTGCTCCGAGTCAGCTGCGGAGGACGACAGGGAGGATGGAAGTGAAGAGAGTGGTCCTGGACAAAACGATGATGACAGGGGTATCCTGTGTAAAAACGTTCCCACCACCGAGTTGTCATGCAAATGTGCAATGACAGAAGCTTTTGTGATGCGAATCTCCCCACGACAGGCATTTGCAATCGTGCTTTGGCATTTGTAATCCTGTTTGTAAACAGCATGTGAAGTAAATTGCTTTCTCATGCGGCTTCCCTTGCTAAGCAGCACAATACTGCAGATGGGAAGTTGTTATGCACAACTCCTAAGGTTTAGAGATTTGTGTTGCTGCAGATTTAATACCAACTTGACTACGCTGGGTTGGGGACGTTTTTGCTCAGGATAAGTGTTGAATCTTCCGCTCCGGCCGTGGAGGAGACCGGAGGGTGGACGAGGGAGCGAAAGGTTGTGGTCGTCGGTATTCACATTCTTCTGATTTTTTCACGTATGGAGATCAAAAACGTATTCGTACACACGGCACGATTGATTTTTTTTGTAGAACAAATAAGAGAAGCGGAGACCTCAGATATTTGTTTCTAGCTAGTACTTCGGGAATTTTATACAACGGGAACTGTAGCTGGTGGACGACAAAAAATCACTCACAGGCAACTACGCAATCTTCTTCGAAGACGAAAAGAGCAGTAGCGAGGAGAGTGCGCCGGTGGGAGTAGACGTCGACAACAGGGAGCGAAATTCTGTGCAAGGTTCTGCGAACACGCAGCTTTCAAGTTCCCATGGCGGAGTTCTCGCAGGCCTGGCTGGCGCGTCCAGCTCTTCGTCATCGTCTTCATCCAGCAGTAGCACGAATAGCAACTACCCGGCTTTGACAGGTACTGAGGGTCGCGAAAAGGATGCAAATATGAACCGATTCCACGCGGTATGGGAGCAAGAAAAGCAAGAAAAAATCGGAATGCTGGTGGAGATTTTTCAAGAGCAGGACATTTCAGCCGAAGATGCAGAACAGGCCCTCGAGGAACACCGCTGGGAGCTCCAGCGGGCGGTGGACACCATTACCGAACACAACGAGTCCCAGGAGCAGGACCTGGAGATGAACTGGCGCGACAGTGGCGCATCCCCATCCCGGGTACTTTCCGTAGAAGCAGGCGAAAGAAAAAGAGCTGCCTCGTCGCTGATTTCTTCTAGCGGAGAAGACGAGGCTTCCAGTTCTAGCGGGGCCTCTTCTGACGACGAGAAGGTGGACGACGCGGAGCAGCTGGGCGTTGCGGGGGCAGAGCGAGGAACTTTCAACCACCACACGGTGACGGGCGGTAAGGGCTTTACAAGAAACGTTTTGATGATGTCGGGTAAAAATGATTCTTCCCAAATAAACTACAAGCACAAGCCCACGGTGGACGAGAACAGCACCAGCAAAGAGGAGGATGATTCGGAGGTGGAGGTAGATCACGTCGTTATCAAATGAAAATATGTCTGGGTCGTGTGGAACCTTGTGATGCTGAGCGGCGAATCTAAAGAACGCAGCAAGTCACGGCTCAGCATGACAAGTTTCGGAGTTGCAGTTGCTGGGTGTTGTGTGTTCAGCATGACAAACTGCGTTTTTGCATGATTTTGCATTTTCCACAAAAGGACCCCGACATACTTATTTGCAATGCATAATCGTTAGCACGCAGCAAAACTCCGTGCAGCCGGGCGAAGACGACGACGCAGTCGACATCCAGGTACCAGTAACAACTTCCGTGACCGGCGAGAGAACAAATAGAGCTCACGTTGCTAGCAGCAAGCAAATATTAAACGAGGATTCTTCATCTGGCGAGGAAGCATCAGTCGACGACGAAGATTTTTCCAGCGGTGCGTCCTCAGACGAGGATTTTTCTAGCGAGGATTTGAGTTCCAGCGAGGGGGACCGCGAGGAAGAGGGTTTATCATCGCGTCGAAGTTCTCGACCGAAAACGGGCATCAGAAAGTAGGCAATTTTACTTTCGTGCTTGAACAGCTGTGGCAGTTGTAAATACGAGCTAGTCCTTCATAGCGAAGCTTTCGGACGGTAGATTCACAACTCTTTTATGGATGAAAATTATCGACTCTTCAGTGTGGTTTTCCGATTACAGAAAAGCAGCGTAAATTTTCCCAGTTGGAGTGAGTCCGTGATTTCAGTATGGTATGAGTTTTTGCGAACTTTTTTTGTTTCCATGAAATTTGTGATTCAGCAACGTGCTACAACCGTGCCGACCGGAAATGAATTGTTTCTTATGTAAATCAGCACGTGTACCTTGTTTATTGGAACCTGCACAATAAGTGCGCCCCAGGTTAAGAATGGTGTTGCAACCGAAAGTTTTGATGTAGTACAATTTCGATCTAGGATGCATGACGAAATCCTGGCTTTTCGTTTTTGTGAACTTTTTTTTGTTTCCATTTATTACTTTTAAAAGCCAGTATAAGATTAAGATCCTACTTAGAATCAACGCTGTATGATGAATATTAGTGAAGAAAATTTTCAAAATTTTCGTGTGCTGTGTGTGAGATTTGTAATGGAAGAAGAAATTTCGATTTGACTTTATTAAAATCATCGTCGATAATATGTTGTTTCGGACAACGAACAAGAACATTCAGGTTTTTTGAGTGACAAGAGCTACAACGTTTTCACACAAGAAAAGTCACTGAAGAATGAATGGAAGGAAGCGCGGCGGAAGGCGAACGGATTCGTGTTTCAGAGCGCACCGCTTGCGAATCAGTACCAGCGGAGTAGTTTTTCAGATAAACCTCGTGTTCATGGTTGCTTTTCGCTGACAGCAGTGGAAACCGTCGTCGTGTTTCACCTGCAAACTGTTGCCGGGCTTCACATGCTTCAGGATCTACTAGCTGCTTTTTCTTCTGTTCAGCACAGTGGCTTTCTCACTTGCTCAGAAAGGAGCATCATTTTTCACCACGATGAATGCGGAAACTGTGACTAGTAGGCACTACTCAGAAGGAAAATAGTGGAAAAGCGGCGACATACTGATACTTAATTATTACTTGAATTCCTATCTCAAAGAAATAACGGTTACGGCGACATCATAATTGTATTTGAAACACGAAACTAAGTTTTGAAATTACTACCAAGCACTCCGGGAACAAGAACAGCATTCCACGCAGCCAACCGGAGACGAGCCGGGAACACAGGCAGATTTACCCGCCCAATAGAACCAAAAACTACGTCGTACTACGTGGCAGGAAAGAACACTGTGGTTATTTTTTCAACATAACAGCGACAACTCACTCTACATTCTTTCCAACATAACAACGGGCGGCAACATCATCTTCAGCATCACATTGGTGTCGACACGACGTGGAGCGCGCAGAATGCCGCCACGTCGCAAAAACAAAGAGAATCGACCGGAAATCGAGCCGGTCTGGAATGGTGAGACGTTTTGCCTTGGAAGTAACTACCTGCCTACGGCAGGTAGTCTCTTCAAAGACGCAAGCAATGACGGCTGCTATACGCAGAAGAAGGGCGGCGAATTCTTACCGAGTGCAAATGCGTAGTCTGGGTCTGGAAGGTGCAAGATTTAACATGCTTGCTGCGCAAAAGTAGAGTAAACGCGTCTGCTTTGCGTGATAGATCCAGCGCCACATGTTTGGCGCACAGGCTTGCGGCTTATCTATCATCTGGCTTAGCAGAATGCGTGGCCATTAACAGCATGAAGAATGTACGTCAGAGATGACGACGCAGACTACTGTTTGCAGTTCATAAAGAATGTACGTCAGAGAAATCATCGACAAGAACGGGCTGTACGGGACAGACGACACTCGTCAAGCGCTGACGGTATGAAATTCAAAGATGTAGTCTGGGTCTGAAAAGATGCAAAGAAACCTCTTGTGATGCTGATTTTGGAACAGAAAAAAATCTGTGTTGCGTAGTCAGCAAATAAAAACGCCCTGTGAAGATGTTTGTCTACAAGACAGGGCAACATTTCATTCACAGGCTGGGCATGGAGAGATCTATTTCGCAGACTTTGTCATGCGCCGCGTGCATTATAAACAGATCTTGTTCTCACAGGAGATGCAAGAAAAGACGCATGATAGAAAACTTCTGCAGCCTTCCAGACCCAGATCGATCTTTGCAATGGACAACCTGTCGAGCTGTACAAGAAGTGGATTAAGACGGCCGGTATGAAGCTGGAGCGCGGAAAGAACCATGGCGGCGAGCCGCCGCCTGCAGCGGGAGACGTATTCCACATCCCGCCGCCGCCGGCTGTCCTCGGGAAGTGCATCTCCCCCCTGAAGTACCGCCGGTATGCGTTGGAGATCGGTGCAGAGCCCGATGTCGAGTGGAAGCCGGGCGTCGACACGCCGATCATGGAAGCGTTCCTGGGCCTGGGACAGCCTGGCACCAGCGCGGCTCCGACGATGGAAAACAGTGACAAGGACGTCCCGGCGTCGTCGACTCCCTCCGGCACCGTAGGTGGTGTTGCCCCCTCCTCTTCATCATCGCCATTTGCCGCAAGCGCCACGCTGGATAGCAACGCAGCAAAGCTTGGCGCCCAAAACGTACCAAGTGCAAATAGGTCTGGATCCACAAGGAGGCAGAAACATCTCATGCTGGTTGTGCATCTGGAAAAACAAAAAGGAGACAAAAATCAATAAAGTCTTTTGATTTTTGTCTCTTCGAGAACCCGCATTACAGGTTTGTATCCTTCCAGACCCAGACGTATTTGTAATGCATAGAAGAGCCTTCCGTACGATGGCCTGGCATCACAGGGGTCGTCGTCGTCGAGCAAAAAAAATTGTGTAAAAAAGAACACGGAAAAGCAGGGCGGCAGCAAGGACAGTAGGAAGAAGCAGGGCAGCAGCAAACACAAAAACGAAAACAAGAAGCGCACTAGCCCACTCCTATGAGAGTGCACAACCCTGCCTCCCCTCCTCGGTCATGCAAAAACGCGAAATCCTATCTGTGGTTTTGTCATGCAGAGCGTGCGTTTTACTTTTACACTACACTCCGGGTGTGGATCATTTCTCATGCAGAAGATACGTTTTTGCGGTGATTTCTGTTGCTAGAAATCAACTCCAAATGAGAAAGAGGTGGAGTTGTGCACTCCCATAGCACGACAACCTCCATGACACGAGCTACGAAGATGGTTCATCTCGAAATCAGGACGAGACCCTCTTCCAGCAAAAACTCCTCTTCCAGCAACCGAAAAAACTCCTCTTCCAGCAAAAACTTAGCAGCTCCTCATCGTCTTCACTAATCGCGGGCACCACCGCGTCAACGGCGAAAAAAAACAACAAACAGGCTCACGAAGAATCGAGCTGGATGGGCGACCAGGGCATTAGTGCTGGGAATTATTCCGACGACGGCTTCATATGAATTGCAAAGATGCCTTGGTCTGGAGAGATGCAGTGCTTGTCATGTTTGACTGACGAGGATGAGAAGACATTCCTCAACATGCCGACAGTGACACAGCGGCACTTGATTGTCATGCAAAATCGCAACTTGTGATGCGGTTCCCGTAAGACAAAAATAAGTACTCCCTCAAAAAGTTGTTATGCGTTGGCTGGTCAACGTCAACATACTGGAGGTTGTTGACCAGCATCCACACGTCTGCATGACAAAAATCCAGATCCAGGAGTATTTGCACTTCATAAGACAGCGACAAGGACAACAAGGACAACGACATCTTTGACGAGGATTTTCTCGACGATGATCTGCTCGACTTGGAACTGTATTGAAAGGAAAAATTCCCCATCCCCTTACTGAAAAGCTATGTTTTGGAGATTTGTGATGCTGATTTGTGGCCACAAATCGTGTCTGTCTTGCAAAAAGGCGACTTCGCATGCTCCGTCGCATTGTGCAGACGGTTTGTCATGCTGTTGGGCCTACAGCGCCGACGTTTTTGCTGCTACGCGCCCAAGCCAAAATATTTCTACTCGCTCTTAGTATGGGCCTGCAGTCCTCTCCAGCAAGACAGATCTGATTTGTGTAGTACGCAGATCCAGCATCAGAAACTTCATTTTGATGTGGGAAGGGGGGGCTTTTCCTTTTGATAAGTACGCAGCTCTACCAAATAGCAACGCGCTGACCAGGCTGGGCAAATCTTCAAACCAAAGATCAACCACTTCTTCTTTCCCGACTACCACTTCATCCTCGAACGAAAGATCAGCCACTTCGTCGTCGAAAAGCACGACGCTACTTGACGCGTCGAAAAGCGCGGCCGCTTCGTCGTCGAAAAGCACAGGGCTATTCAACAAGCGCAGCATAGGGCAGAATCCCGCTGACCAGGAAGAACACTCCGACGAGTATGAAGACAGCAATTGGAGTGACGACGACGTGCCGCGCATCACCGGGCAGGAACGGAGGCGGCAAGTGCTGGAAGGAAAAATAGCGAGCACCCGAGGGTGGGGAAAGAAAAAAGGACTAACCTCACAAGACCTAATCGAAGTCGGGAATAGAGTGGTTTTATGGCGTGCTCAGGTGTCGCAGTCTGATTTGTTACAAATGGAGCAACGCCTTATCATGCGGCAGATACTGAAATGCGCCTCCATTTGTCAAACCTGCTACTGCAACACCTGAACAGGGGATAGCGAAGCCGAGTAAAGTCCGAACAGGGGAAGGACAGTGCGGGGAATAAGTCTCTTCGCCTACGCGATCTGGCTTTGAAGAAAACCTCCAACCGTATGGCCTCTTCACATGTTGCATTCTCGCTTGCTACATACAACTTTAGCGCGGTTGTCATGCAAAAGCTGTGGCGTGCTCACGGATTCGGATACATATACTACAATCTGCGACATATTAAGGGAAACTTCCAATAGGGTCGTATGTGCGCTTCGTCGGTCGCATGGCAAATTTTGTCATGCGACCGACGAAGCGCGCATAATTTTGCTCTTGCTGGTTTGTCATGACAAGCGTTTTATGATCGGTAGCAGTATGGCATGCAGTAGCTGAAGGGGTCATAAATATTTTGAAACACCTGCTCAACCGAAGAATCCAACCCGGAATTTTGCGCCAGCAGAAAATATGCATTGCAAATACGTTTGCGTCTGGATGGTTGACGAAAGCTTGTCATGCAAACTGGACACGACTCGACATGTCTGTGATGCTTACTCATGCGAATCCTGCATGAGAAATGCCTTCTCAGGGTGGCAAAAAGCTAAGCGCCTCTTGCTGCTCATGCAAAACGGGACGCTGCATGATTAAAGAGTTAGCATCACGAATCATTCTCTCCAGACCCAGACATATTTGCCCTGCATACAAGATATCCACCACAACCGAAAACTGCGCTCACAGTAATTGCAATATTGTGCTGACGCATTATCAATCTCGCTAGTCAGGTAGATGTATATCAGGTTTACAGGCCCCTCTTGTTCTTCTGAGAAAGTAACTACCTATATTGCAATTTGCACTCCATGCGCTACTTTTTCTATTCATACAACAGTACTAGCAAGGTCGGCCTGATCGTCGGTGTATATCACGATATGCATTGCAAAAATGTCTGGGTCTGGAAAAGTGGAACTTGTGCTGCATGTGTTGCATCTCTGAGAAGTCTGTATTGCACAGCCAGCTAGAAGAAGAAAGGCACTACTTTTTAGTCCTGCGAAAACGCAGTTTGTCATGCGTGCGACGCTTGACACGGCGTCAAGTATATTTGTCATGCGTGGTTGCACTTGAGAGCGCCAGTCTTATCCAAACTTTAGCATCACAACTTTCCAGACCCAGACATATTTGCATTTGGTACGCGAGGAGTTCAAACGACTGAATAAAACGAAGGACGAAATCGAACAAGACGATCCCAAGTGCACGAGCATCCCCAAACCCTGGCAAACGGAATGGAAGCGCGTGCATGCCAAAATGCAAGGACCAAGGAGCGCCAACACCATACCGGACCAAACCACTCGGGCCTACTTTCTCGGTGTCTTTGTATGAAAGTGCCAGGGCTGAAATTGAAAAAGCTGTTTGAGAGAATTTGCCATCCATGAAATGGCCACAAGCCGGAACCAGATCAGAAGAGTGCTGCATCCTTTGGCAGCATCGAGTTCCAATTTTGCACCCTGCTGCTTTTGCACAGAAAACTGGTTTTGTCATGCTGCTTTACAAGCTTTATCTCAAACCCCAAACAGCTACGCAGCTTTCTTCTGCTGCCATCACTCCCAGAGAGTCGCTTCTGTGCATTAAAAATTTTTTTAGCTTTTTCGATTTCGGGCTTGGCGCTTCCATAGTTCGGCCTCGGGGGTTGATTTTGATGCACTTCTGCGTTTTTTTTTCTCCGATAATGTGCTTTTTGTGAAAGTTGTTTTGTATTTGGAAAACGAAATCGCGCGCAATGAATTTAGATTTTCGCAAATGCAAAGATCGCAGCCAAAGTGCTGCCAAAGTCGTCTTTGTGCGCTTTACACGATATCTTCAGTCTGTGCGTAGTGTTGAGATGTAAGACTACTTATGTTTTGTTGATTACGATCCAAAAGATGCTGTAATACATACCCCAGCCGTGGTGTGGATCCTTCGGTCGGCCGCCCCCGCGGTCCGAAGGTCATTTATCAACGCGCGACTTTTTAAGTTACTTTTTGCTAATGCACCCTAAGGTCAAGGCAGTGGCAGAATACAATCACGAGATATTTGACGATAGCAAACCAATCTGAATATGAATTCCGCTTCAATGATGAATGCGGTGCATCATTTTGCTCTGTGTAAATACTACGTAACGTTCAAAAAAACCACTTTTATTCAGCAGCACGACAACACTTTTATTTATTCGAATTTTCTTCACAGCGAAAACATTTTTTATTTATTCGAACTTCATCTAGAGGCTTTGAGACTTAAAACGTTGAAGCAGACAAAAACAAAAGCCTCAGAAATACAGCAGAATGAAATAGAACGTGCAAAGCATCGTAGAAGACTCCGGCCTTACCTAAAAATATTTCTCCCTTCTTTCTGCAAGTTCACCGCAAATCTATTTTTTCAGCAGAGGTAGTTAGAGGCGTCTTTATTTGTCTTTTTTGAGTGGCTCTCGAACAAGGAGATTTTCTTGAAGTAGCGCTGGAGGAACGTAAAGAAAACGCGTTCCCAACTTCACGCATCAAGCATCTCTATACTGGTGTGACACATAGAAAGAAAAAGTGTTGCAGAAAAAGTTCATGTCGCATTATTTTTGTAATTGTCCGCCTAAACGCAACCGTCGTTTTTTGAAACAGATTTTTTGCTCAAGACATTCTTCAAGATAGCGAGCGAGCTGCAGTGCTCACTCTCGGTATTTCGTCACGACTGGTAGTACTTCTTCAGTGCCTACTTCATTCTTGTCTGATTCAGCAGCTTTTGCTTTCGTGTAGGATGGAAAGCATAACACTGAAAAGCATGGTCCACACTCTAGATTTCAATTTGTCTCTGCTGTGGTCGAGCCACACGCAGGGGTTGCAGCGCTATTTATTGTGCAGAGGTCAAAACGTTGGCCTGGACACGACCACAACGAAAATACCAACTGCGGAGGTCGCATTGACAACATTCATGAGCATTTCGGATACACTTTTTTGTCTGACAAAACGCAATGGTTTCACGACATTCACAAAACCTCAAATCAGAGACGCATGCCTATCGCTGGCCGCTCGTAGGAGACCAGAATGCTTGGAAATTCGAAGTTCCGGATCTTGTTCACGCAACTTCTTTAACTGCGACGTGAATAAGATCGCTTCATGTGTCGCGTTTAGTCGTGGACAGGGACACACGGCCTCCCTGCAGCGGCAGTGGTTCGCGCAGGATCAGTAGTTTTCGTTGGCGCAGTGGTTATCGCAACGGCAAGTCTTGCGCAGCGCGCGAACATTCAAGAAGTGGGTCTCGCAAGGGCACTGGTTCGTGCGGGAGCAGTGGTTACCGCCGAGGCAGTGGCTACCGCCGGAGCAGTGGTAGGCGCCAAGGCAGTGGCTACCGCAGGAGCAGTGGTAGTCGCAAGGGCAGTGGCTCCCGCCAGGGCAGTGGTTACCGCCGAGGCAGTGGCTACCGCAGGAGCAGTGGCTACCGCCGGAGCAGTGGCAGTCGCAAAAGCAGTGGTTCCCGCCAGGGCAGTGGTTCCCGCCAGGGCAGTGGTTACCGCCGAGGCAGCGGCTACCGCAGGGGCAGTGGCTACCGCCGGAGCAGTGGTAGTCGCAAGGGCAGTGGTTCCCGCCAGAGCAGTGGTTATCGCCGAGGCAGTGGCTACCGCAGGGGCAGTGGCTACCGCCGGAGCAGTGGTAGTCGCAAGGGCAGTGGTTTCCGCCAGAGCAGTGGTTACCGCCGAGGCAGTGGCTACCGTAGGGGCAGTGGATACCGCCGAGGCAGTGGCTACAGCCGGAGCAGTGGCACTCGCAAGGGCAGTGGTTCCCGCCAGAGCAGTGGTTCCCGCCAGAGTAGTCGCTACCGCCGAGGCAGTGGCTACCGCCGGAGCAGTGGTAGTCGCAAGGGCAGTGGTCCCCGCCAGAGCAGTGCCTACCGCAGGGGCAGTGGCTACCGCCGAGGCAGTGGCTACCGCCGGAGCAGTGGTACTCGCAACGGCACCGGTTCCCGCCAGAGCAGTGGTTACCGCCGAGGCAGTGGCTACCGCAGGGGCAGTGGCCATCGCCGAGGCAGTGGCTACCGTCGGGGCAGTGGTTACCGCGGGGCCAGTGGCTGCCGCAGGAGCGGCGGTTCCCACAGGGCCATTGGTTCGCGCGGGAGCAGCGGTAGTCGCAAGGGCAGTGGTTGCCGCCGGAGCGGTGGTCACCGCAGAAGCACGGGCTGCCGCAGAGGCAGCGGCCCCCGCAAGGGCAGCGCCTACCGCCAGGGCAGTGGTTCCCGCAAGAGCAGTGGTGATCGCCAGGCCGGTGGTTCCCGCAGAGCCAGTGGCTATCGTTTTCATGGTACTGCTGCCGAGCTCGCGACTCTCGGTTTTGTTTCCGCACAAAAGATAAACCCCAGGCACGGAGGTAGTGCGCTCTACTCGCCTCTGCATTCTAGGGCGCATCCATGTGCAGGACGAAGACTGCTCCAGTACCTTTTACCTAGGTTTCTGTTGGATTCCAAAACACGCACGAGAATAACAATTATAAGCGCCAAAAAATAATTACACACGAAGTATACATGGCCACCACTACTTCACCGTCCGCACTACCTTGCTCCACCCTTACCTGGATCATCTTCCTTCCCGGACTCGAGGGTGGCGTCAACGGGCGCAAGAGCAAGTACCTGCAGGCAAGGTACAACAAAACGTCGTCGACATCATGGAACAACGATTCCAATCCAGCTCGAGACGAGCATGATGCTGCTGAGGACACCCGCCCTGGAGGTGGAACGACGTCGCACAGGACGAGCTCCTCCTCAACACGTCGTCCCTCACCCGAAGTCCTCGTGACTCCAATCAACATGCAGATGGGTATTTTCCAGAAGCGCAACTCGCTGTCCCAGAACTCCTTTTCCTTCGAAACTTCGGTGGAAAAATGCGTGGAAACGGCGAAGCAGGAGATTCTGAAAGAGTACCAAACCCGGTCCAGAGTGCTTGGCGGGAGAGTGGGATACTATGTGGATAGAGCAGAAAGTAGCTATGACGTTCCGGAAACAGCAAACAACGCAACAATCTCCACCTCACGGAGGACATCTTCTACCACAAAACCCTTGAAAATCCTCCTCATCGGCTCTTCCTGGGGCGGTTTGATTGCGTTGGAGCTGCTGCGCCAGTGGACGGAGTTATTCTCTCCGTACCAGATCGACGCATTAGCGAAAGCGACCCCAGAGTCGCTTCTCCTAATCGCTCCGGCGTTAAAGCCTCTACAGCACGCGTACCCGGTGATGACGAGCCTACTACACACCTTCCTGCCTGGTGACTTCGAAAATTACTTCGCGGATACGGTGGAAAAACGATACCTCTCTATGAACATTTCGGCAGAAAACATTTGTCATCGCCTTTCCGCATCACAAACTCGGATCTGGTTGTTGCACGGGGATCAAGACTATCAACTGCAAGAATGTCTGGGTCTGGAAGAGTTCATGCTTGTCATGCTCGTCTGGCATGACTCTGAAATCTGTCATGCATGTTACCGAAGAGCCCCACTTTTCTGTCATGCAGAAACGCCGTCTGCCATGTAGAATATGCAGCACCTAAAAGCTCAGTAACTTGTCATGCTGAGCCAGCACTTTTGGCCTCCTCATAATACGCCACCCAGCAGCACAAGTTTCCAGACCCAGACAGATTTGCAATGGATAAAGACACGGTGATCGACATTGAGGGAAGTCGGCAGCTGTTCGCGAATCTATTGTGCACAGCAACTAGTACTGGTGCTTCGAAGTCCAGCATGACAAACGCCGATACCAATATTCACTCCGCATTACAGTTTCGCTTCCTGGAAGTTCTCGGCGGGGACCATCGGATGAATGACCAACTCATTTTCGCCGACACCGATCGGGTATGGTGGATGAAATCAAGATTTTTGGTGTCAGTTTGTCATGCATAGTGTGCAAAATCGCTTTAAGCTACGAGTTCTGTATAGCATGACAAATTGACAGCGATTCTGATTTTCCATACCATATCAAGAGGTGCAAGCCAGTGTGCCGACCTCCACGTCCGCGTTTCTTTGGTCTTTCGTGCCGACGACTTTTGCAGCACATTGGGGACGAAGAAGTACTAGCACTGAGGCGAGGGCTGATTCACCAGAAAGTGAGCGTGTCTCTTCACGAGGAGTGGTGGGACATTCGCGGAACTACAAAACGGAAGGTGGAATCAGCCCGACCTCACTGTCGCCATCAACTCGCCCGTCCGCTTCAGAGGGGGAAGTCCGCGGCGGGGAGAGGATTACAATACCCCTGCGAATACGGGACTGCGACAGGGCAGTAGATCTCAGGGAAAATAAAAATAGCATGACAAATGATCCCCCGCCGGCGACTGATGAGTACTGCAGTCTAGGCGACATTGTGGATCATATGATCAGGCTATCCCTACAGGAAAATTGAAATCTGCAAGTTATCCCAGAGTGGCTTGCGAAAATGAAATCTTTCGTTGTACCAACGCGCCCGTCGTGCTTTGCGGATCACTGTTTATTTTTCAACACGACCGGCCTGTGGATGATCCAATTATTTTTTTTTCTCAGTTCATCAAATCTATCTTTTTCTCTTGCGTTGGGTTGCTCGTACACCGCCACCTCCGTGCTGGCCACCTTTTTCCGAGGAGCATCCCTGTACAATGCGACTGGCAAGAGACGACCTTTTTCGATCCATTTTTTCGTCGTGATTTTTGCGAGGGCGGTTTTTTGCCATTGACGACACACTCCAGCACTCTTCTCTCTTGTTGAAAGAGTACCAGATCAAGAAGTCGTACAGATGAATTGACTTGGACTTGCGAGAACTAGTACTGCTTGCAGACCCATTATTTTGACCACTTCCGGCTGCACCCAGCAAAACTCTAGCAACGAGTGCTTTGTCATTTCTTTGTGTTTCACGAGAGAGCGATGATTCATGATCACGATTGCAACTTTATTCTTTTGACTTTTTGCATCTCCACTCCTTCCGCCGCCGCACAGGACACGACATAGCGGAAGTGGGGCGTGGAATACTACCTTTTTATTTACCTCTTTGTTTCTAGTATTACAACTGAAAATCTGCTGAAAGAATGAAAATGATGTTTCTACCGCCGCCACGTGCTCATGGTCTCCTTGTTGCTGCAACAGTTGTGCTTATTTTTGCACAACTAATCGCACCAGCCGAAAATTTTCTCGTGGCAGGAACGAAGATGAGTTTTTTTCTGGGACCGCAGCAGGAGGATGATGTAAGCACTTTGCCCCCTCTATGGCGTTCTCAAAAGTTACATTCTCAACTGTTACATGAATCTGTAATGCAAGAATCGCAAAAGCAAAAGGGGGAAGACTGCAAAAAATGCATTACAAATCCCGCGCAGATTTAGGCGCTGTTTAGCCCTTCGCAAATTTGTCATGCGCAGCAGCTTGATCTTGTGAATGATGATGGTAGTTCTGCATGACAAATTCATCTAACAGTTGAGAATGTATCGTTTGAGAACTCCATACCCTCCCGGTGGTGGGCCAGGTAGCGGTGCAAATTTGCACCCCCCTGCGTATCTCCCCTTCTACCCGACGCCAACCCCGACTGTCCTTGCACCCCACCAACAGCACATGCTGTCTCAACAGCAGCTGCAACAGAACCAGAGGCAGCAACTTGCTGAAGAGCAGCAGGAACTCCTGCTGCCACGCGAAAACCGAACCGCCGCAAGCACGAGCACCACCATTATCCCCTCCGCTGGTCCGACCCCACTTCAAATTCTGTTTCAAAACGTTGCAAACTACGAGACCAACCGGTGTCCCCACTGCCCGGAGTTGCAGAAGTACCATATTGAGAAAGTCCAGAAGGTTATTTACGGACGACCGCAGAATCAGGAGGACGCGCTGGCGGGGCTGGTGGGTGATGAGAACCATTATCCGTATGTCTTCGATCCTGACAACATTGTGCAACACGCTGTGAACACCAAAGCAGCAGAGATCAACGCGGAGTTGCAAGATTTGGTTGGTCCAAGAGAAAATGTACCTCCTGAAGAGGAAGAAGACACACCCCCTGCGCGCTGGTGGGGCAGCAGCCGATCCTCTTCTTCCAGCAGGAGGGCAGCAGATGGAACACTGCCCAACAGCTTCTTCACCAGCTTGACCCAGCACCTCGGCTTTTCGGACGACAAAACGAGAAGACTCGCTGCGCCCTTTCAAAAAGGCCGAACCGTCGCCCGACCTGGTAATGCGCCGCGACCGAATTTCATCGACGAAGCAGACAGAAATTCGCCTGCTATCCAGCGCTTCACATTCGCAGATCTTTCTTACAACGAGAAAGCCCAGCAGAACCCCTACCTTCGGATATCAAATGTAAAAATGTCTGGGTCTGGAAGAATGCAACTTGTGATGCTGCATTTGGATTCCAAAAAAATCTGTATTGCATGAGTACCAAAGGGAATACAATTTTTGCTACGCTGAGAAGGCATTTATCATGCAGAATAGGCATCAAAAAGCCCTCAGAAAATCTGTATTGCTAGGGGATGCATCACAGACATCATGGCTCATGCAAAACGTGCATGACAGGTGTCAGAATCTTCCAGACCCGGACATTTTTGCATTTGATATCGGAAACTCGCAATCGATTGCGACGGACTGGACCCCGCATCCGAAGCTTATTTTTTCCACGGAACAGGCTTGTCTTTCCACGAGGAAGACGAAGATGAAGATAACTACCACGAACGCCACATTCCGCCATACTATCAAATGTAAAAATGTCTGGGTCTGGAAGAATGCGACTTGTCATGCTAAATCTGAAGCATGCAAAAATCTGTGTTGCATGATTACCAAAAACGTCCAATCTTGACCAACTCGGGAGGGAGTTTCTCATGCAGAATAGGCATGAGAGAGATCATCGCGCAGAATCTGTCATGCTAGGTCCTGCATTCCAGGCTTCATGGGTCATGGAAAAGCTGCATGACAGATCGTGTATTCTTCCAGACCCAGACATTTTTACATTTGATACATACGATCACGATGCGAAACGGCAGCCGCTGCCCCCGCAGCCGCCACACTACACTTACATAGGGCGGAGTTCGCCGATCTTTCAAGTAAGGGGGAAAGAGAGAAGTAGTACCAGTACTACTTCTAAAAGTGGTTTTGCTGCTGCTTCGAAAAAATCAGGCGGCGTCAAATTCAACAAGTGGTCCACCGGCAGATTGCGCAACATCCTGAAAAACGGACTGCAGCGGCCGGGCACCAGGAAAAACGACGGCAACGGCCGCGGAAAAAAGGGCAAGAACGGCGGGCAGCTGTACGGAGATGGGATCTATTTGGCAAACCAACTGCACAAGGCCGCGCAGTACAGCAAGTGGGAATTACCGGTTCGCGCCGCGGAGAACATGAGCATTCAGGTCCCCGCCGCGAAGCAGAGTCCCACCGGGGAGTGGAGCGACATCGTGAAAGGCCGGTGGAACGTAATTTTCGTCGTCAAACTAACCTTGCCGCCGAAGGATATTGCGAATCTCGAGCTGGAACGAGCCCGGAAAGGTCTGCGGACGCCTGGTAACATCATCCCGGAGGCGGGCGCTAGAAGTCCGCAACGCCAGCGTCCACCGGTAAAACGGCGATGGGGCAAATCCGTCGATCAAGTGCTTTACGGGGTGCCACTGGCCCGCCATACGAGAGGGAATTTCTTTATCAAATGCAAATATGTCTGGGTCTCGGAGAGTGCAGGAGTTTGTCGTGCAGATTTCGCATGACCCATGAGGTCTGTGATGCATGCCCTAGCATCAGAGATTATGCCAGGCCTTTCTGATGCTCATATAGCATGAGAAATGCCCTCTCAGCGTAGCAGAAATTGCACCTCTTTTTGCTGTTCATGCAATACAGATTTTACGTGGAGTCCAAAGGTAGCAGCATCACAAGTTGCATCCTTCCAGACCCAGACATATTTGGAATGCATATTCTTGCAAAACCCACAGTGGATACCGGATTACCACACGCAAATAGTAGATCTGCCGTACCCAGATGGCATCGGCAGTGGGCCAGGAGAGGATCATCATCCTAGCAATGCCAGTACCGACTGGTCGGGCCGACTCTTCTCGTGGGCGCAAGACGGGCAGAAGAAGCTTTTATTGCCGGGAAGTGTTGAGGACGTTGTTATCGCACGAAAAAACAGTTTCACTGTGAACTTGTGATGCAGAAAACGAAGCGCCACATTGTTTGTCTTGCCACACCTGCAAGACATGGGATTTTCCAGCGTGTTTTCCCTTGGGAAACACGCATGCCAAATTTTCGGTGTCATGTGCAACACACTTATGATGCGGTTTTTGCAAAGTCATCACAGTGAAACAGTTTTTTCATGGGATAGTTGTCGAACCAAATGTAATGTGGAACGTTCTTGTCATGCCAAACAGCGGTATGGTAGATTCTGTTAATTGAACATTTTCTGATTGTCTACTGGAACAAGGACAAAGTGCTTTGCATGACAAGGTGCGTTTCATTCGTTTTCCTGCTGCGCAACACGTCTCATCCAAACTGCATACCACGACGACACCGAGGACATGTACGGCACCGGGGAGCAGTTTCGCATCCGCCACGTCGGCGGGAAAAAGCTCGATCCGCGGGGAACGCAATTGCACACGGAATTTGTCGTGCACGACACGACGCTGCTCGAAATAGCGTATGTACTCGTCTTCGACGTGCCGAATCAGCGGAGCCCGCTCAGCGACGTCCTGTCGCAGATGTATTTGGCAACACAGCTTCCCGGAGAAGACCAGGAAGGCCGCGATGTGGAGGCACAAGAACAGCAGGACAGCTACGACATGCGGACACTCCGTAGTACAGAAGGATCTACTTCACTCGCCGCTGATGGAATTCCGTCGTCCCCAACCAGCACGAACAGCTGCTGCAGCTGCACAGCGGGAGAAGCAGCTCAAGTCACCCACAGGAAGCGCCCCTGTCGGAGCTACGTCCAGCGGCTGGGCACGTTAACAGAAAGGGACCTCCAACGATTCCCCTGCTGCGACCGGGCCAGCGGCAGTTCCTGGCCTGAGTTCTGTTGCAAGGACCCGGCGACCACCAGTGTTGGCTTGACGGTTGCGAACCTCTGTTGCTGCTGCTGCTGTTGCTGCAAAGTGTCGGATTGCTGCGCAAAACAGAGCGCGCAGTGCCTGCGGTGTCTGGCGGTGCCGGCGGCGGCGGTGAAGGGGAATGTGTCGGTGAAAGCAATTTATCCTCAACAATATAAATGTTCCCACTCGAAAGTATTTGCACCTAACTTACAGGTGGAAGATTTGTAAAAATGCGCATTCTCAATCTCATGAGGGGCATATATTCTATAGTCGTGTTTCAGCATTTGTGATCCTGTAAAGAGGATAAGCTGATGGCTTTGAGATGCGGCTGCACTTGCTAACTACATGGCTATGCTCTACTACACTACAGCGACGAACTTGTCATTCGTGGCATCTAAAACAAACTTCTGGATTTGTGTTGCAGAATTCATCCCAGTCAAGATTGACTATGCGGTGGCGGGGGCGTTTGCAGTCAGGATACAATTATCAACTGTAAAAATGTCTGGCTCTGGAAGAATTCATGTTTGTCATGCTTGTCTGGCATGACTCTTAAATCTGTCATGCACGTTACCCAAGAGCTCCGTTTTTCTGTGATGCAGAAGCGCAGTTTGTCATGCAGAATAGGCAACACCTAGGAGCTCAGAAACTTGTCATGCTGAGCCAGCATTTGTAGCCTCATCATGAGACGCCACCCAGCATCACAAGTTTCCAGACTCAGACATTTTTACTTTTGATAACAATTGGCTGCCTGTTCCTGCGAATTTTCTGCTGTCCGTGCAAGAACGTGCGGAAGGGGTTATGGCGTTCTCCAACGTTACATTCTCAACTGTTACATCTGTTACATGTATTTGTCATGCAAAAGCATCTTAAGCCGGCAGATGATCGAGCTGCTTCGCATGACAAATTTCGGAAGGGCTAGACAGCATCTCAATCTCCGCCAACCTTGTAATGCAACAGGCGCAATCTTCCTCTTTTCACTTTCGCCAGTCTTGCATCACAAATATATGTATTACAGTTGAGAATGTAACAGTTGAGAACGCCATAGGGGTGTTCCGATGATCCGTCGACCTGCTGCAACGGGGAAGACAGTCCCTGCGAGCTCGTACCGCGGGAGAATCAAGACGCGATGATGGACGAGACCGCGAAAACAAGTTTTTGGTGCACCTGCGGTATCGAGAATCTCGCGATGCTCTGTGCTCACATCGGAGCCGAACTTTTTTGCGGCGCGCTCGGGAAACTCACTCTTGGCCAGTCGCCTCTGGCCTCGACGAGGGCACATCCCGGCGCCACGCTAGAACCGTTCCACGTCGGCGACAGGCTGTTCGGTGCATCCTGCTGCGGCGACCATGCAAGACAAAGGATCGCCGGATTCCTCAGCAGCATCGTTCCGCACGGGCTTGACTGCAGCTCTGGTGCTGGTGGTGGTGTCCTGCATAGTGGTACTTCCGCGGCGTCGACTGCGTCCGCAGCCGGACAAGCAGCTGCTCACCACGCAGCAGCAGGAGCAGCAGCGACAACAACTTCGCAGTCCTGCATCGCGAGCCACTTAGCCCAGGCAACCCTCGCAACTTCGTACCACCTACTCGCGTGGCACTGTTTCGTGCAGGCGTTTTTGCAGGCGGCGACTAGTTATGCATTGCAAATATGTCTGGGTCTGGAAACCTATGATGCCCAGTAGCGATGACTGAGCACACTCCTGAGTGCAGCCAAGCATGACAAATTTTGCGGACGCCTTCTCATGTGTAATCCGCATAAGAAACTGCGTTTTTGCATGACAAAGAATTCGCGCTTTTGTCGGTCACGCAATACAGATTTTACAGGAGTGGAAAACGCGCATTACAGATTCCGATTTTTCCAGACCCAGACATTTTTGCGCTGAGTACTAGTGTTGCGAGCGGCGAGATCCGGGCGTATCAATTGGTAGGCTGTGGAAAAGTATCGCACTCGTACCAATGCAAGTTTAGCATTACAAATCTTGTTTCCAAGGCAAATCTGCATATACAAATTTTGTTTCTCATGCTGAGGAAGTTTGTAATGCATTTATACGAGCACGATACTTTTGCACAGGATACTTGGGGCTGGAAACGCCGTTTGAAATGCCAGAGGATATGTATTACAATGAAAAATGCCCCCTCCCCATATCAAAACGGAAATCTGTGATGCAGATTTGGGGTCACAAATCAGCTTTGTGATGCTAGAAGGCAAAAGATGCGGACTGTAGTGCTGTCTAGCGTGGGAAAGCCTTGCAACTCCAGGATGACAAGAGGCAACTGGAAGGGGGAAACAGCATGACAGATTACCTGCAATTTAGGCCGCAGCTCCGTCTCTTGGCCTCCTAGCAATACAAGTCGATTTGTGTACTCAAATACAGCATCACAAATTCGCGCGTCTCCCGTTTCCGATATGGGGTGGGGGCTTTTTTCACTTTGATAATATGGATACGCAACCAGGGCCGCATGTGCGCTTAGTGGATTGCTGAAAGTATGGCTCTTTGCTCGTTTTCCGTACACGAGGATCAAGTGCCTGTGCCATCAAAGCTTGTTCATCTGCACTACTTATCACGTTCATTTCACACGAGAATATAGGAGTTGTACCCACAAAATTTTGGTTTCTTTCTCTTTTTTGTAGATTGGTTCTGCTGGACGTAGATCGAGATGATTAGCTCTTCCTTTTGACAAATGAAAACTCTACATCTACGAGTACTAGAGCACAGTCGTATCAACTTCCGAAGCAGTGAGGAGGAGACGTAACCCTAGAGATGTTGTCCCAAACTCCTCCTGTGTGGTTCCCTTTCTGTCCCAACGCTGAGCGGTGAAGATCAATGTTTTTTTGAAGTGAAAAAAACCAGATGCAATGATCCAATAAAACTTTTGAGTTTCTTGAAACCTGTGAAGTAGATGCGACGAGACCGGCGGAAGAACGATCTTAGAGTCGATCTGAACGTTTGCGTTTTTTCGCTTGACGAGACGATCCGATTTGATACAAGATCCAAAATAGCTTTAAGCGTGGTTGCGTGAATAAATCTGGGCCGACAAAACAATTTTATCTTGCCCTGCACCCTCTCCTCAATGGGTATAACACTGAAGAAAGTGAAAGTTGTGTGGATGTGTGGATGACATCTGTAGATTATACCACCCGCAATTCTCTCCTGCTTCACCAGAATGAGGCTCCTTCTGCAGCGGATAAAGACCGCGCTTGTGGGTGGGCCTGGCCCGGCACTTTGTTCACCGGCAAAGTTCTCATGCTCATTCTCGACGATCACTTCCACATGTACAACTCTGCCATCCAGCAAGACAGCGGCTGGCGCAGCTGCTCCACCGGTAAGAACAACTTCTGCGCCTTCGATGCCGAAGTCGAAGGCAGTCACGCGGAAAACAACTACTACTCCCCAGATGAACCCGACGCAGAAGACCGCAGCGATTCTGAATCGCCCTCGGAATTATGTTCAACATCCCAGTGCTGGTCCTCGTGTGGGGGCGGCGCGACCACCTTCGGATAACACCACGAAAAAGAGCGGCTCAACTGCAGCCTCTGCTGCCACAGCAATGGACGTTCGATTTTTGCAATCGACAGCGGCCGCTGCTGCTGCTACTCCAGCTGCTGCGAAGAGAAAGTGTAAGTTCGTACCACCGCCTCCGCCGACAAACAGCGTAGTTCCTGCACCGCCGCAGGATACTGCGGCAGTAGACAGCGCTGGCGGTTGTTCACCACTCGGCAGAGGTACCAATGACGTCAAGATGAAAACCTCTACCAGCTCCGCCTCATCTACATCTTTAACATCACCACGTTATACCTCAGACAAGCGCCTGGTCTCTGGAACGAATTCACAGTGGAAGATTCGCGATGATAGCTCCAGTGCAAGTGCGGCATCAGCAGCTCGTCCCTGTTTTGATCCACACTGGAATTTAGTCCCTGCATGCAGCAAGGAAACCGCGGAAGTTGCCGACACGACAGGTTCGGTTTCCAACTCTAAGGCCGGCGACGGAGCGATGGCCATACCAAAAAGCTGCGAGAATGTCACCACTAGTACCTCGGGCACAGATCATACAAGAACGACCTTGGTCGACAACGCTTTACCACCCGAACTCCTCGCTCTACTCGAGAAGCACGAAATACTGCTGTCCGGCACCATGAAAATCCCTGCGTTTCATACCGAATCCTGCTATGTGGAAACGGAGCAGCACGGGAGATTTCTCATCCCCGGCTTTATGGCCCGGAACCGGGCGATGAGCAGTTATGCTCTGCAAAACAAGTGCATAAAAGCATCATAGATACCAGCATACGTTGCAGCATGACAAGTTGTTTCAGCAAAGAAAATAGAATTTGTCATGCGAATTGGAGAGAAGCGAGACGATGACGAAGAAGGAGAAGCGGATCTGTCATGCAAGATTGCGACTTGTGGGAAGATGCGATGCTTATCCTTATGCTTTTGCCGTGCATAGCAGCGACAAAGTGCTGATTTTACCGTATTCTGGTAAGTTCGACTGGAACAACGTCGAGCTAGAGATCCGGAAGAAGCTGAAAAATGTTCTTGCGGGTTTGCAAGAGGATCCAACACTGCTTTTTCCCGGCGTGCCGAAATGGAGTGGTGGGGAGGGAACAGCTCCTGCACACGCAAATCCAGTAGAGCAGCCAGCGAAACCTTCGCATCCATCCCTCCCGCCTATTTCATCTGCGTCGCCTCCTGCGACGCGGCGAGGACCTGCACAGGGTGCCACAGCAGCTCCAACATCGTCGAAAGACGAGGGAGCGACCTGCTCGACAGTGCGTGTGGAACAAACTGCGTCGAGTTGCGATCCGGCAGGTCTTCAGGTAGCACCAAGCAAGCAGGCATCTGTCGTCCCCGATCCACCAGCGCTTCCACCGACACCTCCAGGAACTGTATCATCGACGACCCCTCCGGCTCCGATGCAAGGCCCCGCAGAAGCGACGATGAAAGGAGATGACGCAACGGATGGTGTGGCGGAAGTGACGGAAAAAGATTCAGCCGCGAATGATCTTGCAGCTGGGTCCGCCAACGCAACTGTGCCAGACGATGGCGCAGCTTCACAACCCGGAATAAAAGCAAGTACATCGACAACGAAATTTGCCCGCATCGTCGCGATCAGGGAACGATTCGAGAAGCACAAATATCTTGGCGAAAAATCTCCTCTCGGACACAGTTTGTAATGCATATTATGCCAGAAGAATACGTGACTCGCAGTCGCGTTCGCAACCTGTCGCAAAGGCGGCTTCTTGCTAAACTGGTCCCTGCGGTTGCCGGCACTAGTGGCAAGCCATGCGTAGGGCTGTTCCTCATCTAGTGTAATTACAACCAGCACGGTTCTCTTCTGTAGCAAGCGCTACGACTTCGACCACAAGACACGTATTTCTGCCTGTCGCGCATGACAAACTGAGGTCCTCTCGAAGGCCATTTTTCCTCAGCATAGCAAAGTAGTCGGGACAATCGTCGCGGAAACGGACAAAACGATGAAGTTCCAGCCCCGGGACCAGCGGCTCCCCGCGTGGACGCTCCCGAGAAGACTGCCAGAATCCTTTGAGAAACTGATGAAGACAGATCCGGAAGACCCCGGCTCCCGAAATGCCCACGACGCTACGAGTTCTCGTGTACTATCGCTCCCAAAGAACGTGGTGCCGTTTTGCAAAACCACAGGTACTAGCAGCACCAAAAAGACCGCCGTCCCGGGCAAGAACTCGTCCAAGACTGCAAGGGCACAGAACCACACGACCAGTAAAAATCGCTACGAGGACGCAGACATCGAGTCGACGCTGGTCGGTCACGTCGTTGTCGCCGGCTTCGAGGTATCCTGTGCAAAAGTAGTATCTGATACTCGTATTGCAATCATGCATTACAAATCCTTTTCTTAAGGTCAATCCGCATTACAAATGTTACTTCTCATGCATAGAAAATTTGTAATGCATTTCAATACGACCGCGATATTTTTGCAGTTCATACGAAAACTGGAAGCACGATGAATTTCTCCCCCGAGGGCAGTTTCTCTACGATTTAGGCCGCTCCAACACGCCCAAAGCGGAACAGGACGCGATTCTCGCTTGGTACAAAATGGATCCGTTGCCGCACAGCAGGGAGTGCGAGGAGGAGGCTTTGGAATTGACGGATGATACGAAAAATCATAAGCCGTTGACGGATGTGATCCCCAGAGTGGATTTGACAAACGATTTGTACGTTTTCTCCATCGATCCAACGACCGCGAAAGATTTGGATGACGCAATCTCCGTGCAGATTTTCGATTCACTGGACGACCAGGCGGAGTGGTGGGAGAAGGTGTACAAGCGGGAGGGGATCCGGGCGACAAAAGGGACATCAGCATTTCCTTCGAGTAGCAGTGGCCCTGCTAGAGAACGAAGCTGCACGGCGGATAGTTCATCGGCAATAAAAAGCGCTGCGCCAACCACTACTTCTACAGAAAGCATCAAGAAGAAAATCCTCCAAGTTGGCATCCACATTGCGGATGTCGCGCACTACGTCCGGCCCGGGTCACTGTGTGACGAGGTCGCGAAAAGCCGAACGACCACGGTTTATCTTCCAAATTGGGTTTACCCGATGCTGCCGCGAGCTCTTTCGGAGCGGTGCTGCTCATTGGATGCGACGGATGTGGAGCCTAGTGGGAGAAATCGCACGACCAGCGACGTTGTCGATCCTGCTGTTCCTAGGGAGAAGAACTGCTTTTCGGTTTTCGTCTCCCTGGATCCGGAGACCGGGAAGATCATTGGAGAACAAGAAGAAGGAGCTTACGACCATGAACATGATGGAGCAACGCATGACAAACCCAGCGGCAATACCGTTCCCAGCATGACAAAGTTCCACCGCACACTGATCCGCCCGGCAGCCCGGATGGACTACGACAGTGTCAACGAGTGTTTGCTCAACGACTCGCACGACGGCGTTTTTCCAGTGCCGAGGGAATCTGTCATGCTGGTGAAGGAGAAGGAGATTGCTGCTGCCACTACAGCTGAGCCAGAAGAAATTTGTCATGCGAAAACCGCAGCGAACAAGGACAAGCGCAACACTACAACCAGCGCAACATCTACCTTCAAAAAGCGCCTCCTCCCAACCACTCCGAAGGAGATCCTGCAGCACCTGGCAATCGTGACGAAATCACGTCGGGAGCAGAGATTGCAGTCCGGCGGATTGACCCTGAATTTTGGCAACGCCAGTGACGAGGTTGTCATGGAATTTGACCAGGAGACGGGCTGGCCAACGAGGTTTGAATTTGTGAGTAACGGCACGAAGGACAGTACTGGTAAGACAGCGCATTCAGTGGAAAACCAGCATGACAAACGACCCTTCTACTTCGACTCGCACCGAATTATCGAGGAGCTGATGGTGCTGGCGAATCATGTTGTCGCGAAGAAATTGCTGCAAGCTTATCAGCACAAAACCATGCAGCGGATCCATCCGGACACCAGTAACCAGATTCGGAAGCAGCTGTTGCTGTTTTTGCACGACTTGGTAGCGAAGGGGAAAGATGGTAGACATGTTGCCAGCAGAAGCGCTGCGGAAACCAACACTACCAGCACCAGAGAGGAAGCTGCATCAGAAGCGGGTACTAAAAATGCACCTCAATGCACGGCCGAAACCATGACGATGAAGCAGAAAATCCAGCATTTTCTCACTGGCGTTTCGATCGACGGGGGGAACACAGGTGGTAGCATATTCCGTGCAAAAGTATCGTACTCGTAGTAATCGCAGTCATGCAATACAAATTTCTTTCTCAAGTTAAATCCGCACTACAAACTTTATTTCTCATGCTGGGGAAATTTGTCATGCGATATATACTAGTACTACGATTCTTTTGCATTTCATACAGTACCAGTGGGTCCAACTATGATGGTTGTCAAAACGCCACCGACACAAACAATCCTCAGCCCACGGTGGAAGAAATTCTTCAATTTGCCCAAACCCACCTACCCACAAGCCTCGCCGAGAGTGTGACTTTTAGTGCGTTGCAGGCACTGGAAAAAGCGGAGTATAAGATGGTGGATGGCGACGAGGAAACCACGATACAGAATGCTGATCAGGATCAGCACGTAGCGGAAGTTGTAGACCATCAGGCTGACAAAAACACAAGCACTGCGTCTTGTTCGTCATCATCTACGTCTTCCACTGCTACTACTTTCCACTGGGGCCTGAACCTTGAGGGGTATTTACATTTCACCTCCCCAATCCGCCGCTACGCAGATATCATCGTACATAGGATGCTGGCGAGAGCAGTGGGAAATGAGTACGAGTATGAGAAAGCAGTCGCACGACCTGCAGCTGCGGAGGATACAGAAGTGAACGCAGCACAAAATAGGTCGACGCGACCTCCAGCGATCTCCGAATCTGAGTGGTCGGACCTGCAGCAGATCACCGCCCGATGCACCGACTACAGCCGCCGGCAGGACGACGCCGCGGCGGACTGCCGATTGTGGTATTTCGCGGAATTCTTGCGAAGGCAACCGTTGCCCGAGAGAGGAGTGGAGCTTGTCGGAGTGGTGTGGAAAATACATGCGTCGACGAGGTATGCGAGTCCTGATCTTACCACGACTTCTACACCCGCCGCGATCTGCTCTGGTAGTAGCACTGCCCCTACAACGCCTGTTCCGTCAGTTTCGACAGCTGATGGCGGGCAAAAAATGGGTGGCGCACCAGCCGCCATGGCGTCAATGAACAATCCGGCGGTGCTGGGAAATGGTAATGGAACTGAAGACAGTGGCAGCTGCTCGTCTCAAGACGGGGATGACCGACAAGGTCGTTCCACCACGACTATCTCAACACGACTCGCCGAAGGTTCTTGTCCAGAGTCTGAAGTCGACGAAACTATGGCGCCTGCTGTTCCGACCACCACCACGAGCAAAGTGGAGTTTTTCCTCCCCCAACTCCGCCACACGAAAGCGGGGACGGTGGAGAGTTTGGAAACGACAAGCGAAATTTTGTCCAAACTGAGTATCGGCGAGCAAGTGAGATTAGTCGCAAAACCGACGAAAAACTCGTTGATTGAGGTCGTTGGTGGGGGAGGTGCGACGACGTCTCCTGCATCGAATTGTACTGGCGAGTTCAAAAATAAAGCACTGTGGTCGTTGAAGTTGGTCGAGTGAGGAGCAAATAATCAAATAAAAATCTGTTTATGCTCGTCACATTGAAGTCGAAGGTCAAACAAGTGACTTCAACAGAAACGAATTGTGCGGCTGTTTGTGTTCCTGTGAGCAGAGTGAGTTTGATCCTTCTTTTTTTCCTGGCGATAAGTGCCTACATGACTATTCAGAGAGAATAATAACCAAAAGTAAAACACCGCATCAAAGGCGGACATTTCCCGATTGAAAATGACTTTCTTCTTTAACAACAGGCTTGTGGCAAACAAGACTTTAACGCCTCTCTGCGCAGCTCTGGAATCTGTACCGCAAGCTCTGTTTAGCTTTAGACCTACTCCTCGTACTAGAAGCATCACTTTGTTTATTGTTTCCAGTCGACTTGAAGATCTCGAGATTTTCAACGCAACATCTGGAGGAGTAGATGATGAAATCGCAGTAAAAAATGCGCGACGATATCATGAAGTCAGCCGTTGCCGTTCGTCGACATCGATCTAATTTATTAGGTAGTCGACAAACGAGTCAAAGTGTGAAGTTCCAAATTGCCCATTAGGTCGCTGTTTGTAATGCGGATTCCGTATGAGAGAACGAATCCAGGCGGCCTCGTTCTTGCAAGCTGCCTACGACGTAAGAGTCAGTTTGTAATTGGCAGTGCGTATGACAGAAGGAATGCGAATGGGCTCGCTTTGTTTTTGCACAAGCGAGGCCACCGCCTTCTTTCCTTTTGCTACGTGTCAGCATGACAGGTTGCGCATTTCGATGGGACTACTTCTCTAGTTGCTGGCGCATTTGTTGACCTTCCAGAAGGGGGCCTCTTCAGCGGGTGACGCGCGAAGCTGGGCATACAAGCCCCGAAGTAGCTGAATATTCCGCGACGAGGAGCAAAGGACCAGGGTGCGCGGTCGTGCGAGGGTGGTCGCGCCATCTTCGCCAGCATTACAAACTGCGCCAGCAGGTTGCTGTTTGTAATGCGGATTCCGTATGAGAGAACGAGTCCAGGCGGACTCGTTCTTGCAAGCTGCCTGCGTCGGAGTCAGTTTGTAATGCGAAGTGCGTGTGACAGAAGGAATCCGAATGGGCTCGCTTTGTTTTTGCACAAACAGGCCACCGCCTTCTTTCCTTTTGCTACGTGTCAGCATGACAGATTGCGCATTTCGATGGGACTACTTCTCTAGTTGCTGGCGCATTTGTTGACCTTCCAGAAGGAGGCTTCTTCAGGGGGTGACGCGCGCAGCTGGCAATTCAAGCCCCGACGTAGCTAGAATACTCCGCCCCGAGTAGCAAAGGACCAGGGTGCGCGGTCGTGCGAGGGTGGTCGTGCCCTAGCCATCCTCGCCAGCATTACAAACTGCGCCAGTAGGTTGCTGTTTGTAATGCGATTTCCGTATGAGAGAACTAGTCCAGGCGGACTCGTTCTTGCAAGCTGCCTGCGTCGGAGTCAGTTTGTAATGCGCAGTGCGTGTGACACAAGGAATCCGAATGGGCTCGCTTTGTTTTTGCACAAACACGCCACCGCCGTCTTTCCTTTTGCTACGTGTCAGCATGACAGATTGCGCATTTCGATGGGACTACTTCTCTAGTTAGTGGCGCATTTGTTGACCTTCCAGAAGAAGGCCTCTTCAGCGGGTGACGCGCGCAGCTGGCAATACAAGCCCCGAAGTAGCTAGAATACTCCGCCCCGAGTAGCAAAGGACCAGGGTGCACGGTCGTGCGAGGGTGGTCGCGCCCTCTTCGCCAGCATTACAAACTGCGCCAGTACCAACCTAGTAGTGTTACTATCTGTAAAAATTCGCGGCCTCCTGTTTCTTTCCTCCCCCCGTTCAACGCGAGTAGTTTGTTTGTGCGAGGAGTCTTCGTGCCACGGATTAAATAGGTGTACAATACTGTACTTTCACAACACCGGTGTACAACTCACAAATTGATTTAGGGTGGCGTGAAGATGACTGTGCTGGATACTCGTTCTTCGACCAGCAGAGCGTTTTTTTTTTTGATCGACTTCGTCTCCCTGTTGGAGGACGCGAGGTTACAGAAAGAAATACGACATTTTCGTACTGCGTGCCGAAATAATATGCCGCCCTCCGCCGTCGACGGCTGAGAACAGCGTCTTCTACTTTGAAGAAGCGGCGGAAATTTTCAGAGCGGGGCGGAGAGAACAAGTCAACGCATCCTATTGACGTACAAGGCAAAGGAGCCACAGAGGGGCTGCGCTTCTGCACGTAGAAGATTCTTGCGACAACGACTTTAAGTACTTCCTTCGGTGTTTCTTCGTAGCCACCTCCGGCTTGTTCTCCGATCGCTGCCGCAGCCATGCTTCGTTTCCGCCACGGTCTCAGCGGTGACGAGGATTTCGTCGAGCTGCCTTTTACGGAACTACAAAAACCACCGCTGGCGGGCAGCCTGTACCGTGATGAGGATGGGAAATTGGTACTGAAAGTCACCGCCAAGCACTTCAAGGAAAGACTATCCACAGGAAATTTTCTGTACACGACGTACAAATGTTCCTTCCGCATGACAAATTTTGATTTTTCCTTCAAACCTTTTGCTCAGCATCAGCATGACGAGTTGCTTCCTCTAAGTTCTTTGCGAAATTTGTGATGCGTTTTGTACACACTGTGCGGAAAATTTGTATTGCATAAAGACTCCTCATGATTCACTTCGCCAAACGGATCGCGCCGGCTATTCATCTGTGCAGAAGTATTATCGCAAGAAAAAAGTGTTACAGTTACACATTGTGTTGCAAGACCGGCAACACAGACAACGTTTCTCATGCAGGAAATGCTTGCGAGCCTCGTTTCCTTCCTGTTTTCCCTTCTGCTCTTCGCATTAGAAGTTTTCTTTGGTACACAGAGAAAATTTGTGATGCAGAAACTCCAACAAATGTGTAACTGTAACACTTTTTTCTCGTGATAAGTATTGTTGCGCGACTAGTACGAGGACTTTTTAAGTATGCATCTACAAACTTGTTTCTTGGCATAATGAAGAAAACGAGATGAATTTTGTGCAATGCTGATGTAGCTACAGAAAGGAGATGTGTCATGCATGATCACTAGATGGCTACTAGAACTAGAAGTGCGATACTTCATGTTTTTTCCGACAATTCCGGCGTCCATGCTGCAGATTTGGCGTGTGCCGGAGAGCGCACAGAACACGCCGGAAGCGTTATCGAAAGGAAAAATCCGTCCTCCCCATATCAAAACGAAATTTGTGATGCTGGAATTGTGTACACAAATCGGAGCTGTCTTGCTGGAGAGCAGTGCAGGCCCATGCCAAGCGTGAGTGGAGAGGCTGTGGCCTAGGCACTTAGCATGAAAAACGTCCGCACTGTAGGCCCGACAGCATGAGAAACCGCCCGCACAAAGCGGCGGAGCCTGCGGAGTTGCCTTCTTGCAAGACAGACACGATTTGTGACCACAAATTAGCATCACAAATTTCCAAAAATATACCTTTTCAGTTTGGGGAGGGGGAATTTTTCTTTTTGACAAGCGTCACCGAGTACAGCCATGGAGGGCGTCGTGGAGCAGCCGGAGCTGCAAAACAGCGAGGAGTTGCAGCGTCTCCAGGAGGACCAGCACCCAATCGACGATTTGTCGCTGCGCATGTCCCGGTTGAGCAGTCCGCAAAGTGCGCAGAGCGGCAGCGGGCCATCGAGGAGCCCGAAGACCCCGTCGTTTGCACCAGTGGAATTACTCGTAGAAGACGATATGGCGTTCTCAAATGTTACATTTTCAACTGTTATCAATGATTTGTCATGCAAACTTACGAAGTAGAATCGACGTGATCAAGCTGCTTCGCATGACAGATTCTAGAAGAGCCAAAGAGGCTGAGGATCTGTCGCAAATCTGTCATGCGACACGTGCAAGGTCACCCTTTTCTCCGTTGCCATTCTTGCATCACAAATTCATATTATACAGTTGAGAATGCAACAGTTGAGAGCGCCATAGACGAGAAGGAAATGCTGGAATTTCTTCTCTTCCCTACCGCGACAGTATCCTGTGCAAAAGTATCGTACAACTCGTATAAGTGCAATTCTTGCATTACAAATCTTTTGCTTAAGGTAAATCAGCATTACAAATTTTATTTCTCATGCTGAGGAAATTTGTAATGCATTTATACGAGTGCGATACTTTTGCAGTTCATAGACAGTGCCGAGCACCAGGCTTGACGCACTTTGTGCTGGAGGACCCCCATCTCGCTCTGGCGAAGAGAATCGCGGGAAGCAGGCCGCCGTCCCAGCGGGAAACGAATCTCTTCTGCCGAAGTCTACTTTCCACAGCAGCAGCTCTGGCGCAGCGTCGTCGGTGGGTCGTACGCTTGTTTTCCAGACTGGAGTTGCAGGAGCAACCCGAGAAACCGCTGGTGTTCCAGTCGGAGCCCGTGCGGAACAAAACAACTCCGCATCGCCAACACACCCCGGCGTGTTGGACAGCGCCACCGAAACGGAGCACGCAGAGCCGGTCGGTTATTCCGCTGCCGCAGAGTCTGGCTCGACATTGCGGCTAGTGCCAACTGCTACTGGAACCACGTCTAGTGCTGCTTCTGCAACGTCGGCGTCCCAACCGGCTGTGGCGAAGACTGAAAATCAAAATACGGCAGCGTCCTGCGCCGCACCAGCGCAGCAGGGACAACGGAGAAAGATTTGCGCGATCCGTGTGACAACGAAGGCCGTGGAGTTCCCGGGAGCTGTGGCGGGTACGGCGGAGGCAGACAAATCCGGGTCGTGGTTCGTCATGGTATCAGAATCCACAACTCACCCTTTCTAGATTTGCAGGGCGAAAACCACCACTAATATCCGCTCGGTTAACCAGAATATCAATCTGTTGCCACGGTCCGCGTGACAAAGTTCGAGATCTTCTTCGTCTTCACAAACATTACTACAATCTGATGTGTGTAAATTTGATGTCATCGTGCGGAAACTTCAACCTGAACAGCAAGGGCTTGGTTCTTGTTGCTGTTCATGCTCTGCTAAGTAAAGGAAAGGGCGTAGAAGTTGTCTACTGGCATACTTGAAGCCCGGCGCCTACAATGGATGGTCGAACTTTCAAGCTAGCGGACCTCCAATCGATTGTGGTGAATTGCAACTCCGCCCCGACATAGGCATTGCGAATACGTATGGGTCTAGTCGAGACAAAAATCTGTCATGCACAGAAGGCCGCAAAAGTAGCTTGTTTCTTGTCATCAAAGTCTGGACCTGGAGTTTATATATTTATATTCGAGATATGAGTATAATTGAGAAAGCTCCGCAATCAGTGAGGCGAGAGCTTGCATGCCAGAAGCTCTGCTGGGTCATACAAAAACAGCGTGACAAAGTTCGCACTTTTCCACACCGATACACATTTGCAATGCATACGACAACGACTTATTTTTCTACGACGACGAGCCCGATTTCGTCCACCCTACGGATGCGGATGTGGCAGAGTGGCAGCAATGGCAAGCACGACTCCCTGCAGAAGTGAACGCACGATTTGCAGCGTGGCTCTTCAACGAGGAGTATCGCCACCACCGCCTGTACCGCACCGACCCCCGGACCCCGAAAAACTGCTTTGGCTACCTGTGCGTCGACGGACGCACGGGGGCTTTCGACCCGGAGTATTTCGTGTCATACACCGCTGCAGTGCTCGCCACGCGCTTGCTCGTTCCGCTTTCCGTACGACTGGTAGAATGCTTTGACTGCCGGTGTTACGCGGCCGTCGGCGACACGGATTTGCTGGATGCAAATCGGAATGAGCTGTGGTATTGCCCGATGCACATCGTGCATGCAGTGGAAACTCTTCTGCGCATGACCTGCCACTGTCCGCGCCCGCGCCTGGAAGATACCTACGACGAAAGAGGAGGCCGCGCGACTACAAGCCTTCGCTGCACCAAGATGGAAGGAACAGGTCCCGACGGAAGCACTAGCATCCCGCCAGAGCAGCTGATGCTAATGACGGGAAAGTGGCACTTCATGATGCAGCTTCTCCTAGAGCCTCCGTTCACGGCCAAGTGGCGCGCCTTCGCACCCGCCGAAGATCATAGGAATCCGGGGTCCGCGGATAAAACTGGTATGGTGGAGCGCGAGATTTCCCGAACCGCGCTTGATATAGTGTTACGAAATCAAGATCAACAGCACGATTGCGACGACGCGGCCACATATGTGGATCAGCGGCTGAACTCGTGGGTGGACTTCGTAAACCGGGACAGCACGCAGCAACTACCGTGGAGCCAGAGTTTGGCCGACTCGGAGAAAGTAGCGGAGAGCATCGTCAACCTAGTGGCGGAGCTAGCGAGCGGAAAAAGTAGTCACAAGAACCCGTCAGATGGCAACAAGCGGCAAAACAACACCAGCGAGACCGCAGCCCAGCGCAGCATCACAGATGAGGAGAATGAATTCGCGAAAAAGGAACCTGGCTCTTGCCACAATGCAGCGGGCGATTCCAAGCACAACAAGGAGATTGGTCTCACCTGCGAGAGCAAATGGCGTCTTCGCACATCCGCGATCGTGGAGACAGATGTCTGGACCAAAGGTACCAAAAACAGCAGCGCCTTTCTTCCGTCACCAAACCCAGTTTGGGTTCCCGAGGATCGCTTCATGTGGAACAGCTACTGCCACGCCTTTAACTGGTCCCATTACTGCAATGGTTACGGATTCGGCCATGCGGAACGCGCGGAATATTTGCTCCAGCGTTGGTTTATTTTCGAAAAAGAGGATGTAACTGCGACGGCCTTTCCCTGGGAGGCTTTGTTCGAGGCCGCGAGATATGCTGTGCAAAAGTTGTATCGTACTCGTACGTAACTGTAGTGTCTTGCATGACAGATAGCTCGCTTGCTTTTACCTGCTTGAGAATTACATTCAATTTTACCTAATTCTTCATGATAAAATGTGGTACGAAAATTTTTACGATGCTTTTATAACGCATACACAGCAGTACCGGCTGCAAGGAAAGTCTCTGCTTCCATTCGACCCGCGTACCCTGGTGCGCATCGGCGGCCGCGGCTACCCAGCTCCAGATCGCGATCGTGAGGTGTATGTCACTCCCTGGCTTCCTGCTCAATTAGATGATCATCCACCAGGATTGGACGCCGATGCTAAAAAGCGACGATCTCGAGCCAAGCTGTGGTTTTTTATACGAACAAAAGTAGTACCGTTTGCCGTCGTTGCGCGCGTTTTGGGCCACGCCCCGTGGCGACTCTCGTGGGGAAAGCGCCATTTCGACAAGACCTGTAGCAGCTGGAATTACAGCACCAACATCCTGCCACTGCCCGGCTACCAGAAGGAGCTGTTTCTCCTGAGTGCTGGCGACTTGCCCCAGAAGGTTGTGCACAGGACCGGCGGTGCGAAGGCGAACGCTGCTGCACGTGATCCTCGCGATGCACACGTCTGTTACACTCCTGTGGAATTGAAGGAGCTTTCTCTACTCACAGGCACCACGGACGACGTTGATATGCCATCACAAAAGAACGCTCGTTCTGGTCCCGCCACCGCCTCTCAAACTTTTGATGCAAACGCAGAGTCGTTTTGTAATGCAAAATATTATTATGAGGCTGCATCTGCAGCTCTGCCTGTCGACGCCAAGTGGAGTGCTAGATTATCGTCGAATCTTTTGAAAATTTTGTTCCTTCCTCCCTTACCAACACGACACTTTTGGTAGAGATGGGCAGTGCTCATATGCTTTGTATTCATGCAAGACAAATTATATTCGAACCCGAAGGCATGGGGGACGGGGACATCGTCATGGTTTTGTAGGGCATAAGAAGTGATGCAGTGGCAACAAGCGCAAACTCGGAAATGGCATCCTGGAGAACAAAAATGAAGATTCCCCGCCCACTGTTGCAGCAGCGACGAGTTGCGCGTGTGAGCCCAGTGCTCGTCGCTCTTTTGGATTTGATTACGATGGACGATGTCAACAAGAACAACGAAGTTTCCGCTACAGCTACGGCAGATAGCACCGGAATGAATGTAGATCTTCTTTCCGGCGATGGCGCAGCGGAAACGAAAGGTGAGTACTGCAGCAATACAAATCCCGCCCCGCAGACGCAGTCATCTTCGTCCGACCAGGAAGCAAGATTGAACCCCGCGCAACCAACCACCGCAGGAGGGGCTGCCGGGTGGATCAAGAAGCACGAGCTGCATACCCTGGACCTCGAGGAGATACTTGACTTCGATTTCGTTTTCTTTCCGACCACCTCCGGGCGCTCTTACTCCGAGCAAATGCAGCCGTCCGGCGTTTCCAACTACCACAAACTTTTTGCTCCCAACCCAGTGGAGATCGCGCTCGAGGAACTCTTCAGACAGTACACGAAGCTACCGGATGCGAAATCTGTAGCCAAAGATGACGACAGACGGGCGATGAAGGACGTCTGCGAGTTTTTCCTCCCGCAGTTCGACGTGCGCGATTCGAAGTACGAAGAGTTCACGCAGCTCTGGGCCGCCGTGAAAGACGAGAGCAGTACCGCTGCGGTGCGGGAAGGAGCGGATTTTGCTAGCCAATCCGCGATAGGCAGTTCGACGGGGAAGGCGCGAGAGGATGAACCGACGAAGACCAGCCAGGCGCGGCGGATGCTCTTCATCTGGAGACACCACATGCAGCTCCTGAACACCGACCACTGGTCTCTGCTAAACTCCTATCCTGTGCGACAGTGGGTGCCAGAACCAAACTACTACCGATAAACTGCATTGCAAGAGCAAGTTTGTTCAGCATGAGACATGAAGTCCGAATAAATTGAAACTAGAATGATCAGATAGACGAGGAAGATTTGTCATGCATGATTAATGCCAGTAGTAGAGGTTGTGCGATACTTTGACTTTTTCACAGGATGCGACGGAGTTTTCGACATTGATGGCACACGGACGCTTCGCGGAGTGCAGAGAGGTGCTATGAATCGCAAATATGTCTTGGTTGGGAACAAACGGGAATTTGTGATGCTGCATTGATGTCGTGGTTGATCAGGATTTCCTAATACTGCAATGACGCATGACAAACTTCAACTGGAGAGAAAAAGAATCGAAGCGTAAATCTTTCGTCACTATGCAAAAGAACAAGCACTGGAAGTTCTGATCATTCATCTCATTTCTACCGATTTCGAGAACAAATTTCCAATGCATACACCCTGCGGGAGAACAACAACTTTGCTTACAACTTCTACCGCGCTAGCAAGGAGGAGGAGGAGGAGAAGGGAGCGTAGTCCACCACTTCGCGTCCTTGTCTGCCATCCCGCGCAACCATGATGTAGACGCAAAAAAGCAACACTGCTCCGGTGAAAGTCGCGAGAAGTGTAGATAAAGGAAAGAAGTGTACTTACTCATCGGAAAGTGTTTTGTTGTCCCCACTACACGAGGTCGAGGACCCGACAGGAGCTACAAAAAGGTGAAAAGGTGAACAAAGTACGCAATGCCGTTCCCGGCTGGTAGGTGAACATGAAACCATCTGAAAATAAAAACGCAGAAAGGAAACACCAAAACGAGTGCTCAGTGCCCAATCTTCGAATAGACACGCCGACAGGCGTAGATGAAAACAGTGGTTGTCAGAAGCCCGCACCACTCGCATTCCATTTAGGATTAAGATTGTTATTCGACGGCCAATTTCGGTTTTTTTTTTTTTCTCGACTCGAAACTACCCCGAGCCCGAGTATCACTTCGAGCGTTTTTTTTTTCGTCCCCAGGAGTAGAAATGAAGTAGTTCTTACAACACCTACCTACGACCGCAGACTTCTTTGTACTAGAATGAAACCTTCATCTTCTACGAGCGTCCGTTTGTTTTTTTTTACTGACGAAATAGTATGTAAGTTGTGCGACTACTCTATTCAGTGTCAAAAAGAAGATCAAAACTAAAAATACCGCGCAAAACAAGGTGGATGAAATTTCCCGATCGAAAAAGATACTTCTTCTCAGCAGGTTTGTGACGCCAAAGATTTTGCAACTCTATGCAGAAGAATCAGACCCCGCAGCTCTCTTTAGAAGACCTACTTATTCGTACTAGCATCACCTCGTTTGCTTCTATCTAGTCGGCTTGACGATCTCGAGAGTAGGAGTTGAAATCGCAGTAGGAGATCTTCGACGATAATATCGTAGATTCGGTAGTGGTCGACAAACAAGTCAAAATGTGATGAAGTATTAAATTGCACGAGTCTTGTAGTGTTTTTGTCAAAACCTCTTCTTGTTTTTTCCTCGAACTGGTTGGACTGGAACTGCTCCTGCAGAGAAGGGAGTGGAACTGGTCGAAGTGGTGTGGAAAATACATGCGTCGACGAGGTATAGTACGAATACAGCTTCTGTAACTTCTACATCAACAGTTACCTCACCGTCCTCGGGTATCATTCTCATTTCTGCTAGCACTGCAACAGCTGTTGCAGCTCCCACGCCAGCAATTCCGACAGGACCCCCGAAAGCAGCTGTGCGAGGACCAGCGGCTGGTGAGCAACGTCCTGTCTCAACAATAAGCGACCACTACTCGTCAGGAGTGTCAGGGACCTCTTCTACCTCACCACGACAAAACCCCTTGGCTCAAGAGCAATGAGTAGCCCCACGGTCGATGGTGCAGGTACTCAAGATGGTTTTGTGAGTTTTGGCCTTCCGAGTTACTTCTACTCATCTCGCATGCATGTGGGTTCTTTCTTTCAGTTCCAGACGCAAGCGCGCCATGATTTCCTTTTCTTAGCCACAGAAATATGGCGAGAAGCTTTTGTGCAAAACGCATGGACTTCTACTAGTCTCGACATTCATTCCTCATTCTTCACCGAAAACGCAACACAGATCCAGAGGGGGAGGGGCCTCGATGCTCCCCGGTACAGAATATCAAATGCAAATACGTTTGGGTCTGGAGGAAGAGGCGACTTGCCATGCAAAACTTGCATGACCCAGAGCGTCTGGCATGCGCATGCCGGGCCAACAGCATGACCGATTCTGTGAGTGTGAGACTGATATCTCTATTGTGCCTCTCCTGCATGAGAGGCTGCCTCTGTGCCTGGTCAGAAGTGGACAACTTTTGGCAATCGGGCAGCAACACAGATTTTTGGAAGATGCAGCCGCAGTTGTATGACAAGTTGCATCTGTTCTAGACCCAGAGGACATATTTGCAATGCATACAAAAACGTCGCAAGTCTTCGATGGAAGAGGAAAACGAAGAAGTGGCGCCGGTTCCGCGACCCGCCGCTTCCGCTCCTTCCGCGACCTGCAAAACAGCGCTACGCCTACATCCGGCCGAGGCCGTGGACCAGTTCGGGTCGTCTACTCTGCCAGCTGCCCGCGCTTTTGAATTACAGCTCCGTCGTTGGTACGAACTGCAAAAGTATCGTACTAGTAGTACTTGCAATACAAATTAGCTCAGCGTCACAAATGGAATTTGTCATGCTCTTTTACCTTGGGATGGCGATGGAGATTTGTAATGCATGACTGCGATTACTACGAGTGCGATGCTTTTGCACAGCATAGTTGGGTAGAGGAGTTGAGGGTGGAGACGCTGCGCTCGTGGAATTCGATCAAGGCCGCAAACGCGGAGGCAAAGTGGGACTGGAACCTCGACATCATGCTCGTCATGCTGCAAGTCAGCAACTCCCGCGGAGAGGTGTGCGACCTCCTCACGTGGCCAGAAGGAGAAAACCCCATGCCCGGGGACCCGCCGGCGGAGCCTAAGAAGGTTCCGCTGTTGGACGTGAAGAAGATTCAGGACCTGGCGTCAGACTATCGCTTCCACCCAGAAAATCCTGACTGCCCGCGTCTCGAACTATCCTGTGCAAAAGTATCGCATTCGTAGTCATTGCAATTATGCATTACAAATCTCCATCCCAAGGTAATTTAGCATGACGAATTTCATTTGTCTTGCTTAGGTAATTTGTAATGCAATTCATACTAGAACTAGTACGATGCTTTTACTTTTGCAATGCATACGGACGATTGCAGAACAACCCGGACCTCGTGAAGGACGCGGCGCCGGAAGAAATGATAAAGCAGAAGCTCACGTACTACTTGGAACGAGCCGGCAAGAACTTCTTGCGACTAGCCGGCCAGACCACCGTTATCGCGGTCCTCCGACACCGGCACGGCTCCGTGAAGCACGTGGCAAAACTGCTGGTCCCGGAAAGCGAAGCGGCAACATTTACCTTTGTGCACTCGGGCGCATCATCCCCGGCGTTGTCGGAGACGTACCCACTGTCCTCGTCGGTGCCCGAGATAACGTTCTTCGCGAGCACAATGGTATCAAGTGCAAAAGTGTCTGGGTCTGGAAGAATGCATGTTTGTCATGCTTGTCTGGCATGACTCTTGAATCTGTCACGCACGTTGCCCAAGAGCTTTATTTTTCTGGCATGCAGAAACGCAGTTCGTCATGGACAATAGGCAACACCTAGAAGCTCACAAACTTGTCATGCTGGGCCAGCACTTGCGGCCTCATCATGATACGCCACCCAGCATCACAAGTTTCCAGACTCAGACACTTCTGCATTTGATAAACGGCGCAGCTCTACAACATCATCGCGGAACCGGACCACGAGGCCGCTGCAGATTTAGTACAGCAGGTGGCGCAGCTCACAACCCGCAACGAACAGCAGGAAGCCGGTATGGCAATGAGGATCTCCCCGCCCCATACTCAAAACGAGGGCCAGAAGCTGTGGTGTTGATTTGTATAAACGCAAATAATGGTCGTGCCCGGGTGTTACCTACAGCAGGGCCCTCGAATTTCTATTTCTGTCGACAAAGTTGTTCGTATATATGAGTATACGTTTTTATGGTTCCGAGCATGAGGAACATAAGTAATTCTTGACGACCGCTGCACCCCTTCCTCTGTTTGTAAATATTATACGTCGACTACCCTCACCCCGCTATTCATTACCAGAAGCAATAGAATAAAGTTAGTTCGTCACGAAAACAGCACTCCGAGACTCGCTTTTGAGTATGGGGTAGAGAGACTGTTCTCACAATAGCGCAGTTGCTCGCGAGGAGAGCCGAGAACGACGCGATGAGCGCCGCGAACGAAAGGCTGCAGGGCGAGCTGGTAGCGAAGCGTAACGCTTATGACAATCTCTACGAGCAGCGCTCACAGCTCGAGCAGAGGGCTGAGAAGCTCGAGGAGGACAAGGAACTGATACGGCAGGAGCTCCTGACGGAACAAATGAAATCGCAGCAATCCGTCAACCAGGCGGGGAAAGTGGCCTTCGCGACTGCACCGGTTCCGATAAACGCCTGGAAACAGCAAATCTGTATCAAGTGCAAATATGTCTGGTCTGGAAGATCGCAAGATTTGTATATGCTCTGCTGACAAAAGACAAAGAGAAAGATCTGTCATGCATAGTATTACGCTACCAGCAAGCTATGCTTTTGTGATGCAAAATAAAAAAAAAAACAGTTTGTCATGCAGTCTACGCAAGACCAAGTCGCTCAGAAGCTTGTCATGCGCGTGTCTACTTATATTGTAGGCTGCTTATGGTTCGCCGCAAACTAGCATCACAAATTGAAATTTCCAGCCCCAGACATATTCGCGATGCATAGTCTGGGCTTGGCTGCAACAGATGGGGGAGGGCAGGCTCGCCGTGCTGGACTTGGACCCCGCTGGTGCTGCACACGACCTCCTGCGAACGCCCCAAGACGGTTACGTATCCGAGAGATAAAACAAAGCACGCCCATATTACCAGAAGAGAAAGAAACTTTCACAGCTGTCACTGCTGGCGCAACGTGGAGCCTTCCTCTGTGATGGTGATCCGCCAGAGCGGCGGAGACCTGTCATGCAGCAATAAAGCGGATGTATGCACTGTCGGAGATCGATTCTTGATCAGAGGAAGAGTTTCTTCATCTGAAAATATGGGTGTACTTTTCTGGTCGATACCACGAGTTTCCAGGACCGTCGATTCCGACAGTGGAGGTGGTGAAGATACTCGCTGCAAAAAATGTATCTGGGTCGGGGAACGTGCAAACTTGTGATGCGGCTTGTCCTTAGATCTATCACAAATTTGTGTATGTCTAGTTGCGATTGCATGAAGAATTTCTACCAAAAGCTACCCACTTTCGTTTTATGTTGAGCGGGCGTCCCCAACATGCAGGAGGGGGTAGGTCTCAGATCTTGTGATGCTACGCTCCGCATTGCCGAGCTCACTGACAGTGGAAAAGCTGCATGACAGACTCCTGCAGCTTCCCAGACCGCTACCCAGACACATTTGCATTCGATATGACGGGCGGCGCATCGATATGAATTTTTTGACCAATCGCAAAAACTTGCATTTCCTGGAAGTGAAGTACGACCAGAACAATCTTCTGAACCCATGGACCAACTTCCCGCCGTGGCTCCAGCCGGGGTTGCAACAGCATTCGATTCCGCGGGCAAACAGAAGGGCGGGGACGCTCGTTGCGCTGCTGCAACGTAACGAAGGCGAGCACATCGCCGCGGTACCCGTGACGGCGGGGGACGCGTGTACGGGCGGCACAGACCACTCGGGGCGCGATTCCTTCACGCTCGCCACAGCCGTCGCGCTCTTTGGCACGACCGGCATCGAAATCGCGGACATGGCCCAGAGCATCCCCCGCATATTGAACGAGCGGCGGCTACCCTGAGGAAAAACATCCCCACCTCCTAGCCAACCGGCTGGGCTGCACTCTCCAACACAAATCCAGAAGGTAGCTCGGCGGGATTTTGTGCAGTCGTGCAGGCCTGCGAGGAGAGCAGCACAGCAAAGCCGCTTCCTTATCTTGACAAGTTACTCAGACCACGACTACAGATGATGTCTTGCATCCTGGAAGTGTGCATAAATGCGAGTGCCGCTTTGGAAGTGCAAGTACAGCAGATGCGAGTCTGCGTGACAATTTTGGGGTCGGGACGTGTTTCTTCAGGATACCTCGACGTTACCGACGTGATGGCGGATGAAGATTTCCACGTGGTCAACTATCACATGCAGAGGTGTCCGGGTCTGGAAAGGTGGAGCTCGTCATGCTTGTCTTGCATTCCCGGAAAATCTGTCTTGCATGTGCTGCAAGCGAGCAGCTTCCTTTCTTATGCAAAAACGCACTCCCTCATGCGAAGTCCGTATGAGAGGGCGTTCTGCAAACTTGTCTCTGTCATGTTTTCCTGCATAACAAGGCAGTGTTGTCATCATGCACATTTGAGCATCAGAAATTTCCAGAGGACCCAAATATGTTTGCAGTGCATATCAGCGACATCATGCCGATTACTGCGATGCGGGAGCAGGTGTTACGAAGTGCACATATGTCTGTGCTCGAAGACATTCCTGAAACGCATGACAAATTGGGTTGTAGCACGACGAAAAAGCCTATGACTTGATGTATTTATCATGCGTCACAGATTCAGATCATGCTGTTGGCCTCGAAATCTTGCATGTCAAATCCAGATCTTGAAGACATATTTGCAATGCATAAATTTTGCGGTGGTACGACGCTTTGGACTATCGACTGCAAATGTGTCTAGGTCTTGAAAAGTGATGCCGCTGCACCATCTGGAGTTGTAAATAAATCTTTCATATTGCATGACCAACAAAGAACGGCGTTGTGATGCAAAAACGCATTTCTACTTGTCTCAAATGCGCATCACGCATTGGGAAGTGTTGTAAAAATTTGTCATGCTTCTGCTTGGCAGGGTCAATCATTATCGCCTCCACCCAGCGTCACAAGCTTCCAGACCGACACGTATTTTCCTTTGATATACGCCCGGAAGATTCGGTGGCCGCGAAGCTCTGCGTGTTCAAGGTGTCCCCGGCGAGCGATAAAACCATCGAAACCCTGGTTCCGGCGGGCATAGCTGACGACGCAAACCCCCTGCTGGTGAACGGAGAAAGTATCGCGAACCTCTATGACCTGTTCAAACGTTACAATCTCAAACGTTACAATAGAATCTGGATTTCGTCTTGCATGATGAACATGACAGAGTCGGACAGCATTCCACTTTCTGCAATACAAATTTCGCCAGATTGTAGTGCGGATTGGGACTCCAGAACTTGTCATGCGCAATCCTATGAGAGTTGGCTAGATCATGCACTTCTTGCATCACAGATTTCCAAATTCTATTGTAACGTTTGAGATTGTAACGTTTGAGCAGGTCATAACCTCGACGGGATGCTCTCGGACGCGATTCTGCAGTACTGGTCCACTTTTCCGACGGTTCCCGGAACGGTGCGCAAACACCCCAAAGCAGCGTACCTGAAGACGTCCAGCCTGGTCGTGGTCCTCGTACTTCCCGACGGGACACGAAAAGCAGCGGCCGGTGTATTTGACTGGGAGGCAGAGCCATTTCTCCATATCAAATGCAAAAATGTCCGGGTCGGCCTGGATGAAATTTGTCATGCATCTTCTCGCAGACCACGCAGGTGATCTGGAATGCTGATGCTCACAGAGGGAGCACCACAGATTCATTTTGTGCGGCCTGCTTGATGCTTATTCCGCATGAGAACCCCACTTACTCCTTACCAGCAACAGGACATTAGCTCTTGGAGATGAAACACAATTTTTTTTTCTATGATCATCGAGACTTCTCATCATGACGAGCTACATCTTTCCAGGAGACCCAGAGGACATATTTGCACTATGCATATTCGACGACACCAACAGGAAGGACCATGCGATTTTCGCGAGCACAGGAAGGTCCACCTTTGCCGTCTTTGCGGCGCCGACCTGCAGTGGCTCTGTCAACATTTCGCTGCACAAGAAAGAAATTCTCCGCGGTATACTGGGGCGACAAGATGAACCAAGCGACGACGCTATCCCGTGGAAAAACGTCCCCAGCCCAGAGTTGTCATGCGAATTCGCAGGGTGAGAATGTCTCTTGTGCTGAGCCCCATGAGAAGCATTTTCTAGTTGCGTCTCGGAATTTGTCATGCTCCAATCAGCATCATGTGCTAAATCTGTGATGCTGCTGAAATAGCTATAACAGGATTACACTTCTACGAGGCCAAACTTGTCATGCCCAACAGCCAAAGCTTGCTGATTTGTCTTGCAAATTCTCCATCTTGATTCTGGGGCTGGGACGTTTTTCCACAGGATAGGCTCATCCGACAGCGATCGTAACGGTGCTGGGCCGGCCGCTCCCGCAGCAGACCGCCACCTCGTTCCGCACTGCACGAAACAGATGCTCAATGATCTGGACCCAGAGAAGAAGTTGCTCTTCAGCGACAAGCTGGCCGCGCTGTCGAAACAGCAATGGCGGGACAAGTTCTGCTGGGGAACAGCGGAAGAGGACACGATCTACCTCCGCCCGCACCTGGGGGATGCTCCGGCAAACCTGAAAAACGACACGGATATCAGGAGAAATCTCCCCCCCTCTGCCTCCCTCTGCTCCGATAGAAATCTGTGCCACGGGGGGATGTGCGTGCCCCATAGGTCGCGTCGGTATTGCAGCTTGCGACCAACAGCAACACATCACCAGGCAGATCCTTACTCGGCTCTCGCGCATTTGCCTTGTTGCAAGACCGTCGCGAGTGGTGGCCACATCAAATCAGAGCCGCGTTTCTATCTTCAGGGGATGAAGCAGATTGCTTCACTATGGGGAGGGGGGACTTTTGCTCATGATAACAGAGGAGAAAAAGCAGGCTGCGAAATACGGGCAGCTGCTCCACGAGCGCAACCAGAAAGTGTGGGCGGGCTGGCCGAGGACTAAGAAGAAAAAGAAGAAGAAGAATATGACCTGCTCAGGTGTACTCTGCAGTCTCAAGCGTTACAACAGAAGCGGAAAGCTGCAAGCAGAAATCTGTATAACATGCAGAAAGTGCATAATCATCTAGCGTGCTTCGACGGAGGATTTGCGCATGACAAGCTCCCTAGCTGCCGCCCCCCTGTGAATTCATAATCCCCGGTGAAATAACGTTAACGGCCAAGATTGTGTACTACGTTGGTCATGCTCTGCTCACGCAACACAAAATCGAAATTGCGATTGTAGCGCTTGAGACTGTAGCAATTGATCAAGCCATAGCCATGAAAAAACGGAACGTGTTGGACGAGGAAGACGAGGACGACGAGGATATGCGTCGCAATTTTGTCTAGGTCTGGACGCCTGCAACTTGTGATGCGCGTTTCGGATGCTAAACAGAATCTGTATTGCATGAGCAGCAAGAAAACAGGAGTCCAGTCGCTTATACTAGCTGCGAGGAGTTATGGGCATTTGTTCTCATGCGGAATAGGCATTTGGTGAGAAGCCCTCAAAATAAGACGAAAATCTGTGGTGCTAGGTTGTATATCATCACAGGCATTATAATCGGTCATGAAAAATGTGCATTACAGACGTTCACTATATCTTTCAGATCCAGGCATAGTTGCAGTTGATACACGAAGAGACGGAGCAAGTCTTGGAGGACGGTCCACTCGTAATGAACGACAACTTCGTATGAGAGTGCACAACTCTTCCTTCTTCTCATTTGTGTAGCATGTATCAACAGCAGCACACACAATAAGAGTGAAAAAGGGACTTGTTCCGCATGACAAATCTGCAAACGGATTCTAGTACTGTGTTAGGTTCCAAAATTTCTCATGCAGACAATGCTTAAAGTTGTCAACATGTGGGGTTTGTATTTTGCATTACAGATGCCGGGGAAGAGGTGGGGTTGCGCACTTTCATACTTCTACGAAATGTCGGAGTTCGAGCAGAGCGCGGAACAGGATAAGGACTGCAAATATGTCTGCGTCGGGAAAGATGTGATGCTGAATTGCGGATGATAAACAGCACCCCTTCCCGCATGCAGAAGTCGAGCATGACGAGCTTGCAGAACGGTTTGCCTTTGTCATACGCAGTCCGCAGATGAAGGTGCGGCTTCGTACGATAAAACAGGAGGCTACGAGTTTATTATGTTGGTCATGCAATACAGATTGTTCACAGGAATAGAAACTGGGCACGACAAGTTCGAACTTTCCCGACCGCCCAGACATATTTGCAATGCATACAGGATGGTGTGGAGCAAGAAGACGGTGAGCGCGAAGATAGCGTCCATGAGAACAGCGATGTCGCAGCTATGGAGTTCTCACGCGGTACATGATTTGCACTGATGCAAAATTGCCATCACTCAACAACACGACCATCAAGCTATTTATTCGCATGACAAATTCAAATTCTCGCAGCGCTGCTCAGTCCCGGCGTGGAGACAAGTATAATTATCCGTTGGTCAAATTTGAATTTGTAGGCTCAAGACGAGCAGACTTTTTCGACACTTTTGCCATTCTCACAGCACAAATTGCTCGTCGTGATGTCACGGCTGACACTGTCAACACGTGTGAGAACTCCATAGCAGGCGCCCCAGCACCGGTCGACGCGGTGGCAGTGCCCGAGGAGGAGGGAGGCGCGGTCGACGATGATGCCGAATCGGTGTACGAGGGGTGGTGGCAGGAGTCCGACTACCTAGTGCAAACATGTCGGAGTCCTCGGGAAAAGTAGTCGTGCAACGAGTGCAGTTCGTGTGAATGACTAATATCACTGAGTCCAGAGTTATTTTTTATGTAGCTGTTGGAGCGGTAACGCAGTGTCCAGTGCGTAGATGCACCAAAAGCTGGCACGTTTTTGCATGACAAAGGACCACCTGTCTCCAGCTATTTTTACACAGCAATGTGCATACCAGAGTAGATCAGGAGCATGGCAGATCAGCTTGGCAGGTCTTTCACTATTCGAAGAACCCCAGACATATTTGCAATCCATACTGACCAGGACGAAGAGAACCAGAATTTTTACTTCCCCGGCACAATGATATGAGAGTGCGTAACCGCCCCTCCTGCACCAACTTATTTGTCATGCAAAATCAGTACCAAATCGGAGGTGCTACTTTGGAATCCCCACTAGCAAAAAAAGCCTTGTGTCGATTTGACTCATGGTCATGCAAAGCCTGTACTGTTCTTGGTGGGGCTTAGGCTTTTGCTGCTGTTTATGTCATTGCTGGAAGGCGGAGTAGTTGCGCACCCTCATAGATGAAGAGGACGAATTTGAATAAGCAACAGAGACTGCCGTTTCGCGACCCCGCTGCACCTCCCGCTCCACCCGCCCAAGCAGGACCGCAGCAGCAGGAGTTTTTGCTCCCGCATATCTTACACAAAAGGCACACCCATGCCAGAAAAAAAGATCAGGCTATTGGCACTTGAGTAAAAAAGGAGCGTCGCCTGGGCTGTTCGACATGACAAACTTTTTCGCTTACATCTCTAACCCCTCGCCTGCCGTAGTGCAGCAAAAAGCTGGATATATTTTCTCCACGACAAAGCAGTGTGTCTCTTGCGGTCTCCGCATTTTTGCAGACTTTTGTTGATGCAGTGCTGGTAACTGGGCAACATAAATTTGATCCTTTTCTGGTAGCGGCGTACTTTTCTGTGGGAAACCCGAAGAGCCAGATGCAGCTATGCGGTAGAAGATCATGCAGTCCCAGGCCAGACACAGCTTGAAGCAAGAGGTTGCTGAGCCGCTGAATTTTTGGCGTGAAAACGTCTGTGGAGACTCATCTAGCCGGCTACTTACCTGTAGTCTTCTCAAGATAGTTTTTTATCGTTCAATCAGCGTCGAAATTCATTCGATGTCTATCCCTTGGTCTTCGGGCATCCACCAGATGACCGCTTCGCGAGTGCAAAGCGTAACGAGCTACAACGAATTGTCTCCGGAATAGATGATGTCAGGAAATGTAGCGAAGTATAGAAAAGTAGACGCTTTGTGATACACATCTGGAATTGTTGTCTTACCGATGAGGAGCTGCGAAAATTTTTGTGAGCCGACTGTTCCCACATTTTCTTCATGATCGGTCATTGATTTCCTCGTTTGTGTCGTGACTTGTCGGTATGCAGTACTCCACCTCTTCCTGTCGCACAGCAAGTGTCGCATCATCTTCGTGCATGTCGTTTTTTTGGGATTCGTTAGTTACTTTTTACGTGTAAACGAAAACACCCTCTCTGCACTAGCACAAGACATTCGTGATATTTTGGGTGAACACGCGTGACAAACTTGATTCGTGTTTAAGCCGTCTGCTCAAGATGGAAGCATACTACGCAGGACGAGTCGGAACATATTGCTTTGGCCCGAACTATGGATAGTGCTCCAGCGACTCTAGAAACTCGGTTTTCGTCAGAGTTATGAGCCAGTGCGCCAGCACAACAAGAATCCGCTGATTTGCATCGTAATCCTACCGAAAGCACGCCTTCGATGTCGATCCGAGTCCTCAAGCACACGTAAATACAGATAAGCACATGAGAAAGCAAATGATAAATATGCGCCCGGCAGATGGCAACTCCCGGACGCGAGCCAGAACGAATGGACTCGCTGGCCGTCTGACGATCAAAAATGCGCCAGAGTATTTTTGCCTCGGTGGCGGCGGAAACGACGTATGCGACCTGTTCGGGACTCAGTGCGGTCACCGACGACAACAAGGAAAAACTTCTGCGGTCCGAAAGCGGAAAATTTTTTTCGAAGATTGTCACAAGAGTGTCGCAGCGCGCGCGAACGAGGGACGCGTGCTGGTCGAAGGGGCTGACTCCGCTCGGGACAATCCGAAGCAGCTGAAGCTGACGGTATTGCGCTGCTGGGACCTAACGCCGACGACTTGAGTTTTTTCATGCTGGAAACTAACTCCGAACCGAGAACAACGACGCCGCAGCTGCGGGTTCGGACGACGCCGCCAGCGATAAGCACCGCGGTGGAACTTCTACCAGTTCACAGCACTACGGTGACCAGGACGCAGCACTACGGCGTCTCGACACCGTACAAGAGCAACAGGAGCGCAACCTTCTTTCCGTCCAAAAAATTTTATCCATCGAGACCGCATTTGCGGCGCTTGAAGTTGCAAAAGGCGGATCCGATCGCCGAGGAAGCACGATGCCCGTTTGCTCTCAGCGTCGACGATACCAAACTCAAAGGGGCGACAAAACCAAGCAGCCGAAAGGGCAAAAGCGTGGAGAAAAACAGAAGGAAAAAGGGCAGAAACGAAGGCCATGACGGCGATGGGTCGGTATATTGGCTGGCCGTCTGGCGCGAGCTTCCGACGCAGCGAAGAGGAGACACGAAGCGACCACAAAGCGGCAGCCCGTCAGATTGCTATCACCATCGTGGAGATCAGTCTGAAAGGGGCGACAGAGCCAAGCGGCCAAAAGGGCAAAAGCGTGAAGCAGAACCAAAGGAAAGAAGGCAGAAACGAAGGCCATCCCGGCGCCGGATTAGTGTATTGGCTGGGCGTCCGGCGCAAGCTTCAGAAGCAGCGAAAAGGAAACGAGAAACGACCACAAAACGGCAGCCCGTCCGATTGCTATCACCGTCGTGGATATCAATCTGAAAGGGGCGACAGAACCAAACGGCCAAAAGGGCAAAAGCGTAAAGCAGAATCAAAGGAAA